GTGGTTTTTGTATTAGACCCGTCGTCCATTTATTTGTAAGTCAATGGGTAAGGTTATGTTTTTTACTGTAGCGAAAATTTGTAGGAATCGTGTTTCAATTTTGTTTCAATCAGTGTGTGTCCTCAATTTTTGCTATATATTTTTTCCACATTGATTCAAGACTGTCACTGTTATGCGAAATCCAAACCCAAAGCCATTTGATGTTGTATCTACTCTTAAAAGACTATCTATCTCTGATTTTAAAATACATTTTTCATGTTTCGCAAGTTTATTGTCACCTCGTTAATCGATGTTAATTTGTTTTCGTAGAAACCATAGGCGAAGACGGGTCCGTGCAAGGCGTGAATATAGAAGGGCAGCAGTTCCGACATCCTTTGCCGGTCGGCCTGCGTCCGCGTACACCGCTGGCTCCTGGACAAAGGCCTGATCATCAACGTGAGATTAATTGCGAATAATATTATAAAAAAATATCTCAGATCCTTGACCATGGTTTTAATAACAAATTATCCTAGGACTAGTGCTACGTGGTTTGACAATAAAGATTATGTCCTGGTGTGGAGCTGCACTTAATGCCGAGCCAACGGGGAGTCCTAAAGGTATATAAACTCATTCAGGAATCCGTTGGTGCTACCGCGGAGGCGGGCTGGCATGGAGGAGCAGCGTCTTCTCATTATAGCATAGAAGTTTTAAGCCAAAAGTTTAAGTTAGAAGCCAAATTCCGTTAACTGCCTGTGTGGCCGAACGCTTACCATGCTGGTCTACCACGGGTTCGATTCCCGGGCCGTCAGAAATTTATTTCTCTCGTGAATTTGGGTGTAATTTGTGATTGTCTATGTGTGTGTGTCCATGGCACCCGCGATACAGGGTTTCACAGTGCAGGACAATGAGTGAAAAAAAATCCCAAATTATATAGTAACCAGTGAGAGAACGTGTTGTACCTTTTCAAGTGTTCAACAGCGGCCATCCGTAACAGGCAAAATGATTTATTATGATTTGTTGCTACACATGAGAACGAATCCCATAAGGCCTAGTTTTAATGGACTCATGACTCAGTCACTTGTTTAATTATCTGGTAGTTTTTATTTGTTAAACATTACTGAGACCGTTTATTCGTTACTCTTTCCCTCGGCCTAATTTTAATAAATTAATAACTTAAACTTCTTTGCTTCTAGTATTAATGCAACAACAACGTCTTGTGAACGCGGAAGGTGGTCAAATACAACAGAACATTGGGAATCCAGCGAATCAAGGAACTGAACAGAAACCAAATATATCGCAAGCTGGTAAGCAAAATAATGTTATTTCTATGTTATTCCATCCACGTCATTGATGTCTGACATTCTAAGACCAGGCGGGTAGTACGTTCGTTTTTTCCTCGAACCTGCTAGATGTGGTATAATTTCTATTCCCTTTGCACTATGACATGAAGTTCTTCAAAAAGCGTGTCAGCAGGGCTATCATAGGCTGGTAACGCGTAGGTAGCTCATTTGATGTTGAAGATTGCAGTGTTACCTAACATCAAGTTATTACATAAAAAAGGGAATATTCTGTGGTGGATGCTGGAGACAATTTCAAAGCCAGAAAGTTGCTCTCTGTCAGTGAAGTTGACTGTAATACTTGTCATCGTCTCCTTACTGAGGAACGACTAAACAGTTCTCGGATTGTTTAAAGTTTTACTCGTGATAATAAACTGATGAAGTTCCAAAAGTAATTTTCGGAAAACTGACAAAATAGTTTAAAAAAAAAACGTACGTGATCGGTGCCAAATATGACAATAACATAAATTTTATTTTGGATATAATTAAAAAAAAACCACCATACTTAGTTCTTACTTATGTTAGTTTGTTTGAAAAAACAAATATACGCGATTAAGATTTAAAAATTGTTTTTTTTTCCAAAATATTTTGCCAGTTTTCGAAAATTCTTCATATAACGGTATTATATTAATCAGAATTATGTGTTATGGCCGGCAACGCATAATATTACATAACAGTCAATTATCCAAACGCGGAATCCGTCGTCTCCGGTATATGGTTGATCAACAAGCACCCCTCATGGAAGAATGCCATAAGTAACGTTACATCAAAAATGTTTATTGCACCATTAAATACTGAAAAATATAACCCACATCCCATTCTTTTCTTCTAACTCTGTTTTTACAAGTTACAATCTAATGGAGCAATAAACATTTTTGACCTAACATCACTTATGCCATTCTTCCATGAGGGGTGCGAGAGGGAGATGATCAGTTAAAATTGACACCCGCTTAGGAGCTTGCCGCGTGTCCGGTTAATACAATTGTATTAACCGCAACTGTCGTAGCCTTAAAAAAGCCGTTCGTCTGTGCGGTAGTCCAAAACCTCCACAATCGTTCTACAAGCTGACTCAAGTAATAATCAACTTGTTTTTAGTGTGGAGAATAGCAAATGATAACTTTTTATCAATAAATTATGTGCCAAATGAGATTTTATCTAGTTTTTTTGCAAATAATTTAGTAAAAGTTATCTACATTTTTTATATGCTTTTTCGTAAATATTTTATGTAAAAGGTTGGGATCCGAAGTGACAAGAATATAAGAAGTTCGTATGAAAAGGGCAGTTGATGTATGTGGGGTCGAGAATTGTGTCAGGATAGAGTAAAGTGGCGTTCCATGGGCTCTGCCTACCCCTCCTGTGGGACAAGGGCGAGAGCTTACGTATATATGTGTTGTAAATATTTATCATCGTGAACTTATTCCAACTTGCCAGAGCTGGGTACGGATCCCCCTACGGAGAAGGTTTCGGTCATGGTCGACCACGTTAACCCAAGCGGGTTGGGGACTTCACACGTATTCCATCCAGGATTTGTGATCTTCAACGTGCAGGTTTCACCACGATGTTTCCATATCTATTAATGAGAGATATCGCTCCTAAACATTGACAAACGTTAACGCAAGTTAGATGTGGATGTCACAGGTACAAGCCGCGACATGTATTAGAACCGTTGACCTCTCAATTCACAAACAACCTACGCTCTTTTTTAATATTATATTACTTTGTTGTAACATCGCGAACTTACTCTACACTACGTTTGCGATAACTCAAAACCATATTATCAAATTTAGTGGAGTAAATCAGATATCGTGAGGCTCGAGCGTTTGGGGTCCCACCACAACGTGAATTTTTACTTATTTGTGGTGAGAGTGCCGACCAATTTGTTTCCAGACACCAAATTGCGCCACACGTCGCTGGCAAGTGCAATTCGTGTAAATTAGTTATTTAGTTTATATGAAATGAAATGTTTCTTTACAATAAAATTCACAGCTCCAAAGGGCCTCATAACTTACATAAGATTGGATAGAAATGAACGTTTAAAATTAATTTTAAATGTTCTTTTTACATAGTAAAATCGTAAATTAGATTATACATTGGTGAAAGTGATAAATACAAAACTGTTCCAAAGTTATATTTTAAAAGAGTATTATACTGATTAGATTAAGACAGTTCAAATTGTAATTTATTTTTGCCCAATGTATGAAAAGATGTTTATTGCTTTAATAAAAAGTGTCGAACTAAGGCTATTTTATTATGTTACATGTATGTTTAAGGTGTGTATTATATGGTTCATAGTTGCCTAATTTAAAGAAATAAATTACATCCACAGGGAATGTAGAACCTAAACAAGAGACCGAAGGAACAGACGAGATGGACATGGGAGATATGGACAAACTTGAACAGGATCCTGGAAATATTGGAGAGGTACGTCACTCTTCAAAAGTTGTCTGTGGTTTAGATCTATTATTAGCAAAGTTGAAGCCTTCCCACTCCCAAAACTGTACTTTAATTATCTATCGGAGATTGTAGTTATCTATCGGAGATTGTAATTATCTATCGGAGATTGTAATTATCTATCGGAGATTGTAGCCCTTTCGGTTATAATAAAAATATGTTCTTGCCCATCAACGTCATTGGCTGACGAGAACTAGCAAGCGGCCACTCCGTAACACTCGCGGTAACGAGTTCACCTACCTAGCTTATAGTACATTCACTTATGAATCTAGATCGGAATTTGTGGACATATCGATATGAGATTCAGTGGTTATATGCCAGGATATCTACAATTACTAGCTCTTACTTAATTTATAAGAGGATAAATCAACAATCAATCCATTTTACGTCACGGATATCCACTAGAGAAGGAGTTTAGACTATAGTCCACCACGCTTGCCCAGTACAGCTTGCGAACGAAACGTTTCTCAAGGGAACCGTCTTTGACATGTTACATTACAGGTTTCATTATTATGTTTTGCTTCACCGCTTGCGAGAGGTGTGTCTACTAGATATACCCAAATCGACCCCCACAAAGCTTGTTATTTTAAAACTCGTTCTCGAATAAAACTGAACTTTAAAACGCTCCCCTGTATAAACTTGGCAATTTCGACATACGATATTTAAGTAGGAGGGTTCGAAATATATACTTAATGGAAATTACAATAATAGGTACACGGCACCACACGACGATCTCAACATTACACATAACAATACTCGATACAAATTCTCAACAGGTCGGTGACATTCTAACGGGACTTGGTGGTGAAGATGATGAAGAACTACTCGAATCGCTAACGGCGGAGATGGGCGAGCAATTCAACATCTTGGAGTTCGCGGACCCAGAATTGGCTGCGTTGAACGACGCTGAGCATATCCTCGATGGGTTGGAGCTAGCTGACGATGCAGCGCCTGAGAGACACGCCAAGAGAGAGCCACCGTGAGTAATAAACAGAGATCGAAGTTGCCGCTTGTAGTTTGTGTCAACTTCTGCTAGTATCATCCACCCGTGACTTTGCCGTCGTCGTCACGTTATAGAAACCACTTCTTGGTCACCATTCGGCTGCCGCTTTAGAGAGCCACCACACTTTTTTTTCACCAGTAATTCCCTGGACGAACTCATTCACAAGGATCTCTACTGCTACTTAAACTTATCAAAGCGGAATCGGTTGTACCACACTTGTTGTATTAAGCCGATTTGGTCGGTAGTGCGTCGATACGGTCTTTCGAATGTCGGCACCGCCCGCCGTTCATCCATCGTCTCGGATCGGGGGGTATGGAAATATGGCTTTCGCACTTTCGAAGTCGGTCGGTCGTCGATGCGTTCATTCGGGTGAAGTCGACGGCGCTAAACTGCCTTCGTCGGCGGCGTACAGACGCGATCGAAAATTCGCAGCGTTGTGTGAGCCGATGCCAAACGTATAACTTCTTTTTCGCTCTTATTATATGGACACAAAACGTTATCTGTCCATCTAATTGCGGTCCCTTGTCGTTATCTGTTAACACGTAATTCACTGTAGTATAGAAAGAAATATATGTAAAACGGCCCTATACAAAAATAGCGTTGTAGATATGGCACCCAAAATATTTAATAAAATTCCAGACGCAATAAAAAATCTTAGTGGAATGCAATTTAAGCATGTATTAAAACAATTATTAATTGACAAGTGTTACTATAGCATAGAAGAATATTTAAATGACAGTTTCTTAGAATAGATAAATGCTGACAGTTGGGTACCGTTTAGTTATTAATAATTTTAGACTTTTTAATTATTATTAGTTTTTTGACATTGTATCCATTTTTCTTTTATTTTTATTTTGATATTACATTTTTATTTAATTGACTTCGTATGCCACTTTGGCTTATTGCAGAGATTCCATAAAATTATTATTACCATCTATATCATGTACCTGTAATAACGAATGAATAAATGAATTGAATTGAATTGTATTTTATAGGGAGGAAGGCGAAAAACCAGATAACAAAATGGATAGCGATCTCAAGAAAGCCGTGAAGAACATTGAAAGTGGCACTGCTGAGGTCAAGTCCGAGGTGCAAGAGGTCAAAACAGAGGTAGACGTGAAACACGAGGAGGGGCAGCCTGTAGGCCAGATGATGGAAGGAGTGCAAAGAGTTATAACACAGAATCAGCAAATGGCTTTGCAGGTAAGTTTACCATTTTAGGCCATCTGACACTTCCTGTGTTTAGAGTCGTGTGGATTTGTGCTGTGTTTAACGAAGTGAATTTTAATGTTAACATTTGCAATTGACTTCGCATTTTGATCTTGCCAATAATCTTTGAGCCCTTTATCACCGAACCGGAGAGTCGAGAAATGTAGGAATTCAACTGGTTACGTTATTTACACTACTCGAAGGGATGTCGTAAAGACGGAGAGATGTCGTAATTTCCGAGATATGTCGTGATTAAGAAATCTTATTGGTCGTTTAAAACTCCTCCATTTTGGTGAATAAATGGGCCTTAGGTCACAGTTTACTTACACGTTACTACGTACTTATGTGTACAGTAATGACGTGGTACCTTGGCCACAAATAGAATAAATCCATGTAACTCTAATCAGTGCTTTCTACATTCTAAGTTGAGACTTTTTTAGCATGCTTTTTAATACTAAACAGATTGTTTCAGAATTATATGGAGACTGCCAGGTCTTTGTGCACTTGTTTAAAATGTGTGAAATTACCACATAATTATTATTTTTACGTAAATTTTTAGAACTTATTTGTTTTTACGAGGTGGTAAAATAATTTTGTTGAACATATTTGTCTAGTCAATCTTTGCATACCTTATACAAAATCCTTTGAACTTTCGTCACGTCACAAACTCACGGCACCAGTCGTATCCTGTTTAGTCTAAGGCCTATAATTTATACACCGAACATATTTTATTCAATTATTCAAAAATAATCTCCAAAACTTCAAAGCGGAATATCTTTAATTCCAGACTTCTTAGAATAGTAAATTCAAAACCGTGTAGAATAGTAAACTCCAATACGTATGAGAGTTCACCATTGTTCTTTAAAATTATTTAAGATTTTGAAAAGTTGTATTTTAATTTTGTTCTTTTTTTGTATTCAGATTGTTGCAACCTAAGTTGCCAGGCTCCTTACTTATTTTCAAATTTATTTTTCTACCTCGTACAGCAGATGTTCACAAAGAACAATGCCCATTTTGGACTCGGCGTAAAATTTTATCCATCTAAATATACATTATAAAATAATATAGTTTTCATTCATAAAACTTTGAAATAAGTAGGAGAAAAAAGATATGATTTTTTTAAAGTTCATAAAAACATGGAAGGCATTGGCAAATATTTGTTTTTGAACGTAACGCTACTTACATTTTGACATTGTATTTTAACCCTGCTTTACACTTGCCATGATTTTTTAACGTTGAGGTAATTATGAATGAAAGTTACAATAATTGTGACACCGATAAATCTTCCTTGACTTGAACTTGACTCTCAACTACGAAGCTGTCCGAAAATGTAACAAGAAATTCTCTCAACATCGGAGAAATACTCAAATGTAAACGATACTTCAAATTAAAGTCAAAATCTAAGTTGTGCCTTGTTCAAAAATAAATACCAACAAAAAAAATCGTATCTTTGTGCACCATTTTTATCTCATTCGTTCATTCATTTAACTTGTACTCAACTACACTTACCTTAGAATAATATTTATCTCTGTACTACAAAGAACTTAATCTTAATATTCATTCTTAACATAACCTCAAGAAGGAAATATGGTTTGAGTCAACTTTCCCTAGTTAAAAAAAAAAACAGTTTAAATAGAAACTGTATGGAAACTAGAATCTGCAATTCATGGTAGTCCGCTTTTTTTTTAGCTAGACCAGGAACTTGGGCATTGTTCTTTCCGTTTAATTAATATTAATTTCTTTCCGTTTTTTCAAGTGTAAATGCCTGGCTCAATGTGAAACAAATTCTTGCGCCTCATTATTGGAGTAATTTAAACACTATAATATTCATTGGTAATAAATAATGTAGTTATAAAAACCATTTCCATTTCTGGTTTACATTTAACACTTCAAAATTTTCATTCAATCGAATCTCTTAGTTTTGCCTCTCCGGAGATATTAAAATAACGAAAGCCGTATTGGTTGTTTAACTGCTTGTATGTAGCGACGGACCGCTTTTTGAGGCACATGGGTTCCATCATCATGCTGGTGCGGCTCGGTACGAATGTCACCATAAGTTATTCGGCGCTGGAAATTGTTAACAGATGGAGCTTATCTCTTACAGTATCATGTGGGAACTTAAATTCGTATTGAAATTGCACAAGAAATGAAAATATGCAAGTACGATTAAACGAAGAGTAACGATCACTCGCGTTAAGAATGCAGTATTAATCTTAAGCCGTCCCATCACATGGCTTTTATGTGACGTGAAATGTGGAAGAAAATTCAAATTGACCAATCACAACTACTTACTGCATTCTTAAACTTGAATGGAATAATAGTAAGCGCGTTTATGCACTGCATCCGATTTGTATTCGTTCCGAATCCGAGAGTATACAAATGTAGATAATCTCAGTACAGAGTACTAAAAAAACCGACCTCAAAAGTACGTGGAATTACGTCTATTTGCTAAGTTTTATTGAAATATCCTTAAATTCGCCACTATAGAGGACTTGACACTGGAGATAATACAAATCGATTCTCACTATTCAAAGTATATTGAGAGAAATACGCCTTGAATTGGAGAAATAGCAAAATCAACCATTAAAATAATTGCTCCTTAAGTAAAATTTAGGCGCTATTTATAAAAATGAATCTTCACGCGTGAACAGCCACCCTTAGAGGTGGATGATTTTCTTCAAAATGAAATGGGACCACTATGGAATTCCCCCCTTTCCAACAATAAAAGAATCATGAAAATCGGTTCACAAATACCGGAGTTATCGCGTAACATACATAAAAAAACAGTCGAATAGAGAACCTCCTCCTTTTTTGAAGTTGGTTAAAAACCCGGACCCACTTCGGATGTCGCTTGTGCACTAAGTTCGATTCGAGTCCAAGAAAATCCGAATATCGCTTGTACACCTAGAGATAAAATGATCCCTCTAAGGCGGGTATTATCATATAACAGTCGGCGCTTGCGGGCATCAAGGCTGAAGTGAAGCTGGAGGACGACAAGGAGGAATGGCGCAGTGCCGCCGCCCCCTCGCCCGCACCCGCCCCCTCGCGGCCCCTCTTCCCGCACCAGCTGTTCCCGCAGCGCTTACAGGCGCCCATGCAGGTCCATCTCATACAGCTATCCTTTTGAAGCCATGGACAAATGAAGTATAAAAAACGCGGCTAACTATACACGAGGAAAAAATAAGTATTTATATTTTAAAAAATAACCATATTTTTACATACGCTCCTATATCGCGATGCTGTCGGATGTAAAGTTTTTCAACTTGTTATCAAACTGCGATGCGTTTTCTTCAATTTGTCCTTAGCTTAAAATGGTTTCAGTGATGACAACCTTGAAAAAAATGATGATTTTGAACCATCATTTATTCAATACGATTACGAGAATCACCACACTTATTAACGCGAAATAAGCTTAAGCTCATTAGAAAAAAACTTCATGATATAACAACTTAGAAGCCTAAAGTCGGTTTATTTAGGTGCGATGGCGAGCGCAGAGAGGAGTATCAGGTTTGTAAGCACATTAAAATGAATCTTATAGAACTGATTCTACCCCTAAGTTAGAAGTTTTTCAATATGCAATAACTATTTCAATATTTATTTACATCAATATTTTTTATATAACAATCATTCAAATAACTTTTACCACGGACCAATAACTCAAGAGGGGTCGGTATCATAATGACTATATCTTCAAAATTACGTGATCAGCATAAGGACTAGATCGCAAAACGACCACCTCTGCAGGAAGACTATAACTTCGAATGACTTGGTAGCAAAACGACTAGATATTGAAATGACCATATCGTTACATGGACCACATGGTAAAACAACAAGGTAATCTGCTAATCTTGCTTAAATATTGCTTAAAAAGGTCAAAATTCCGTCTTATCTCTAGATGGCGCTGGTTGATAGTGTAAATGGCCGTGGATATGAAATTCTATTTTTATTTTATTGGACAAGGTACAGCAACAGATTACAGATCAGAATACACATTAACAAAACTATTCACCTGCAACCCAATTATAGCTATACACAACACATTAGTAAAAAGAGTGGACATTTAATACCTAGAAGAAATTATGTAAATAAGCTTAACAAATAAAAAAAGAGAATAAAAATATTAAAAAAAACGTAAAACGTAAGCTTTCTAGCTTACGTTACGTTAAGAAATTAAGGTGGTGGATTCGAATGTAGGAGTCTTCTAAAACTGTTATAACTGACATTATACAGATCATGATCAGAACAGATGTCGTTGTAATCTACACATTCTAGATATCGGGCTATTACTCGAGACATTGTTGATAGAATGTGGAATACAGAATAGTTGTGGTATACGTACAGAACGTGTTGGCACTACAAATACAAGTGATCAGTTTATTTTTCTGAACTATGACATTGTGTGTTTTAAACTAATTTATAAATTAACGCTTGCTAGTGTGAGTAGATGGCGGTAATACTAAACAAAATAAATAATAGCCTGCATTCATTACAACCTGTGCAATAAGCGCCATCTAGTTGATTGGTTTGTTATCACTAGAAATTAGAGTAGCTTTGAGAAATAGTAGTTCGTTAATTATTCACAAATTATTTACTAAAATAGATAGTTGGTACTCATTACGACATCTGGTATACCATTATGGTATATAAATGGTTATTGACAGTCTAGTGACTACGCTGTCTTGTATTGCGATTAACAGATCTTTTGAATTGTTGGTCCATGTTTTTATGAGGTTTTTATTACCCGTACCGGTGATGTCAGTAATTTTGAGGTAAGTTTTTTGTACTCAATTTTGTTAACAATTTCTATTATTTAATTACTAGAATAAATCATCGTGAAATATTAAAGAATATTTCCGGTTACCACATTCGAATATTAAATAATACTTTATGATGATATTCTATAAATATTTAAATAAAAAGAAATTGTCACCAAAATTGAGTACAAAAAACTTACCTAAAAATTACGTAAAAGTACTTCCTTCCTTTAGTTTCCTTTAGCAGCGAATTTATTTGCGTTTTCGAACATGTTCTTGGTAAAATTTCTTATTACAAATTATTCCAATTAAGCGTTAAGTTAATAATATATATATGATGCCTTACACTCTCCGAAACAACACATTATATTGGTAAATGCTTATACCGTTAATTAATGATGTTAGTTAATCATTATAATCTTAAAGTTTTTTACAGTAAAGGTTGTTAAACAAGGTTTCTGCCATTTGAATTGCCGTTTCTGGAGACAGTGGACAATACCACGTAATAATTATATAGTGATTATTTCCTTTGAAATTATATCAAATATCGTTATATCAAGTGTTAGCGAATCGTGAAATAAACTTATTTTTACTTTGTTTCATTAAGAATTATATTTTATCGAAATAAGAAATTTTTAAACAAGGGTATTAAACGGAACGCTGACGGACGGCCGCCGTTACGAAAAACATCTTTGAGTAGAAGAGACGTGGTTTTGTTCTGTTTGGATTTATAGTGAGAAGATCTTTTAATATAATTTATAACAGTCACTGGAGCCTCATTTCCATGTCTACTACGAGACCCTTACACAAATGAAAATGGATCATTTGTTGTATATAACAACGAATGTTCTATTTTCATTTGTGTTGTGTTGTGTGCGATTATTATACCTTTTTCGCTCTCGTTACATAATCAAAGCTTTTTCGGACTTGCTTAATACGATTTTGTGTTGGTAAGTGTGATGATTCCCTACAACTACCAATTCACTTGGTCCATTTGCCATATGTTGCATCGTCTTTAACGCAATGTCATTTGCTATGCTTCGTTTTTTCTCTTTCAATGCCATTTAATAATTTCTTTTGCATGCATTGTTTCTCTTTTCTAAGTGTTGGTTCATATTATTTCACTTTAGAATAAAGAATAGCTTTATATTGTATTCTTTTTATCGAAATTTATGACTTATTTCTTAATTTTAAAATAAAATAGATTATCAAACTTTTGCTGTCTGTCCTATGCATGGATGCAAACTTGGTAATTATTATTGATCATTATACTATCTAAGTGTTTTGCATATTTACTTATGTACATAATATTCAGCAGGCGGGTATGCAACGAGCAGGAGGTCAGTTCGGCACAGGGCAAGCAGTGTTGGGACAGCAGCAGGGCATGCCACGACAACAGGTCCAGTTTTCAACCGGACAGCATATGCATTTCGCACAGGTAACCTTTCAACTGTTCCTTGTTAAATACAGACTATTGTCTATTGTTGAACATATGAAAGGACCCTTAAGATATTGATGACAGTTTTAAAATGTCTTAAATTAATGGAGAAATGTGAAAATAGAAATCAAATTTGTTGAACACTAGCTGTCTAATGTGGGGTAACCCATTTATTTTGCCTTGCTGAAGCTGTTTACAAATCATAAATTATTTAAGTCACAAAATATATAAGTTAACGTACAAAGACACAACAAATGTTCGAAATATTCAATGAAGTAATAGGGTAGTTGCGTATTTTCCGGGTCCCACCACACGCATCGTAGTGGGACGCGGCCGCCGACAAGTTGAAACTTTCTTTGTCCACTGTCGCTTGCCGATGGCGCCCAATTTTAAAAACTTGTCCGTATCTACTTACCTGAGAGACAAGGAGTTCGGGCTCAACGGTAAGACCAGGGTACGTCGAGCGTTCGGACCTAGCCCTCCGTCAGTGATACGTCTTCACGGGTGTCTCTGGCGGACCCAGACTTGGGTGTGGACTCGCCGCGGCATGTGGTTACCTGTAGGTACGAACATGTTCGTCTGCTCTAGTAGAATGTGACTGGGATGTTCCATTAGAGCAGATCAGCCAGTTTAGCTGGACATTTGGGTAAAAGGCTGGAGACCCTACATTTTTAAGGATAAAACTTGCTTTTTGGACCATATATAAAAAAAATCTTCTTAAATTGTAATGAAATGAGAAAAAAGTTGTACAAATCAGTCTTTTATATTATTAATCATTTATTATTGCGTTCAGACTCCCCGCTCGCCCGAGCGACCACGTGTCTCCTTATTCTCTCGTTCTCCGTCCGAAACAATTACTGTGAAACCACTAATGCTCGACTAGGTTAAAAGACGCATGATGCGAATGAAGCTTCATACTTGAAATTGTCATTTAATTTGGTCGGATGTTACTTATTTGACAGTATTGTTTCAGAGGGATGTCGGATCGAGAACTAGAGTATACCCCCTGGTCAAATATAAAAAGCCTAACAAAAGCCGGACACAATCGGATTATGATGATGAAAGCCTAACTTTAGTTTGTTCCAATCCATTTCCAACAAAAAGTAAACAAAACTGGTTAAAATTCTAAAGCAATCGCTTAATAAATTGAATAAGTGACACTTTCACGTATTATTCGACGATTTCGACTTGATGTCTTATCACTTTTTCCAACAATATTTATTTGAATAGCATAGTAAACTTGTATTTCAAAAATGAAAGAAAGAAAGAAAGAAAACTGTTTATTACACAAGCACAGACACGCACATAAACAAAACAACAGAGGAGCAATAATAATAATGACAATTCAAAATTAATCTGTTAGGCCCTCGAAGAAGCGAGAGTTTAAAATAAATAATGATATAATAATAACTATAAAAAAACAAAAATTAAATTAAAACAATTGCTAATGCAGTACCTAATTCACCGTCATGCGTGTCGCGGGTGGTGCAATCTGGACTTGCTCAGCTTTAGCCGGCTACAAACGGCTTTTTTAAACAGTTTCGTGGCATTGATTTTCAGCAAGCCTTAAGGTTATTTTTCAGGTATACATCTATGACTTGTCTATGGTTGCCTAGTGCTGGACGAAAAAAAAACATTCGGTTCATTCAATTAAAGTTTTTGTAATAGATTAGTGAATCGAATATTTCAATCATATTCGAACGAGTATCTAAGTTTAGGGGTTTAAGGGAGGACTTGAACTTAAGATTTCGGAGATTTTAAATATGCTTATATAGGGAAAACCGCTAGTATGACTCAATTGAAAAAATCAATTCATTCAATTAATTAATCGATTTGTAGTTGGCATTAAAATTGGCCATCACTAAACCGTCTATGGTCGGGTCAGTGATTTGTTTGTTTACATTTTGTGTACAAAATGAATTGAAACGAAATATACAGTTTGTTCCAATCTATTGTACCAGAAAAGTAAACAAGCAGATCATTGACCCGACCATAGATAGTTTAGTGATGGCCAACTGTACTGCCAACTATAAACGGATTAATTAATTCAATGGATCGATTTGTTTAATTGAATCTGTTGGTATAACTGGGCTTTACATGATAAAATGGGTTTTGCGTCTTCGCTGTTGATTACTATAAAAAATAACGTGATTCAATACTGAGTGATGATATTACATGAGATTAGAATTTTTTTCTTACATAACCTATAAAAGAAAATTTAAATTTTCCGAAATCTAACTGTATATCCTCTTTCAAATCCTTACACTTAGATTTTCGTTCGATTGTGTTTAAATTTCCGATTCGCTAATCGATTACAAAAACTTTAATTGAATTAACCGAATGAGCTATTTCCGTACAACCTTATGCAATCATAGACTATTCACAAATTTATTTTTGAAAATAACCTCACTTTTGAACTAACATTTTTCAAATAAGATCGTTGAGAGATTTTTTAGCGTTCACTAATCTACAACAGTTTAACGGTGCTTATAACACCAATAACAGAATCTTGGACCTAGTGATGAGTAATATTAACTGCAATGTCACGAGTTGCTGTCAACCGTTAACCCAAGAGGATACCCATCATAAGTCAATAGAAATTTGTTTGAATATTGATAACTTTAAGTCTTTAAATTCAGTACCCACCTATAATTATAACTTCTATGCAGCAGATTTTCTTTCTATTAATGAGGAACTTACAAACACAGACTGGCCTGAAATATTTAAAGCTTTAAGCTTAGAGGAAAGTATTTCGAAATTTTACTGCATTTTAAGGAATTGTATTACAAAGTTTGTTCCTCGAAAGATTATCAGATCTTCGCAGTCCTTTCCTGTATGGCATACTAAGCCCTTAAGAAAACTTTTGAATGAAAAAAGAAAATATCACAAACTGTGGAAGTTGTATGGGAATCCCTTGGATTATCAAAGTTTCAGTGTTCTGAGAAAAAGAGCCAATCGCATGGAAACCGAATGTTATAATAATTATATACAGTATATAGAAAATAAAATTCAAACAAACTCTAAGCATTTCTGGACCTATGTCAAAGCTATTAAGGCTAATAATGGGCTACCGCAAACGATGACCTTTAACGGGAAAAGTAGTAGCGATGGGAAGCAAATTTGTGAATTCTTTAATGAACACTTTCATTCGGTTTTCGTAAATAATACTAGCCAATCGCTGCCTAATCAATGGGACGCTCCCGTAAACACAGTTTTGGATATTGGTTCCGTCGAGATTCACTTTAAGTTGGTAAACAAATATTTAAAAAAAATTAACGTCAACAAGGGTGTGGGGCCGGATGGGATACATCCTCTGTTAATTAGCGAGTGTGCTGATGCGCTGACTTATCCCCTCACTCACATTTTCAAATTATCTTTTAGCAGTGGTTGCGTGCCTCAAGTCTGGAAGTATGCTTGGATAACGCCTATACCTAAGGGTAACGTGTGTGAGGATGTCACTAATTATCGGCCGATTTCCAAACTGTGCCATTTCGCCAAAATACAGGAAAGGATTGTTACTGATCAACTGTTTGGGGTAGTGCAGCGCGTCATTGTCCCGAACCAACATGGCTTTTGTAGAAAGCGTGGTGTGGATAGCAATTTGTTAACTTTTACGGAGTTTATACTGTCAGCAATGGATAATAACGCACAAGTAGATGCTATATATACAGATTTTGCGAAAGCATTTGATAAAATTTGTCATAACACACTACTTTTTAAGCTCTGGCAGCTCGGAATTCACGGTGACTTGTTCCGATGGATACGTTCATACGTGGAAAACCGTAGTCAGGCTGTTACACTCTGTGGTTACCGTTCTATATACAAGAATATACCCTCTGGGGTGCCTCAAGGATCTCATTTGGGACCTTTATTATTTATTATTTATATCAATGATCTGACAAAGTCCATAAGGCACTCAGACGTACTACTATATGCGGATGATACAAAGTTATACAGAGTTGTAAAGGAAACAAATGATGCTGCGTTACTGCAAAGCGATTTAAATGATTTTGTTGATTTTTGTAACAGTAACAATTTATTTCTGAATGCAGATAAATGTTTTACCATTTCTTTTACAAGGAAAAGAAATCCAATAACGTACCCTTATAAAATTTGTGGACAGGATCTGAATCGCGTAAGTGAGATTAGAGACCTGGGTGTGGTAATAGACTCCAAACTTTCATTTATCCCCCATATAGATAAGATTGTTAATAGGTCATACAAATTTTTGGGTTTTATATTACGCGTAGGAAAACCATTTAAAAACGCTTCTACCTATAAACTGTTATTCAACAGTTACGTGCGAAGTCGGCTGGAATTCGCAAGTCCAGTTTGGAATCCGTATCAACAGGTTCATCAAAGCAAAATTGAAAATTTGCAACGAAAATTTGTTAAATCCTTGGATTATAGAATCGGTCACCAGCACACAGATTATGACTCATCCCTTACATTCCATAAAATTAACACCTTGAAGCAACGTCGCGAGATTGCTGACGTCACGTACTTGTTTAAAATATTACATAACATGGTTGATGCCCCTTTCCTATTGGGACAAATTTATTTTCGTGTACCTTATAAGCAAGAAAGAACAAGTCGTAAAAAACCACTATTTGCCATTAAACCAAGTAAGACCTGCTATGGAAGTAACAGTTTTATAAAGAGAGCATGTACCTTATATAATAGCAAATTAATGAGTATAGAAATATTTGATAAGTCGCTATTAAGATTTAAAAACCACATCACTGAACTTATATAAAATAAAACTAATACTATGGATAAATATTGTTCAAACCGTTTTTGTGATTTCTTTGTTTTTTTTGTTGTTGTCTATTATTGTAGTGTGACTTGTCTTGTTGTATTTTCACTGCTTCCTCTTGTTTGCGTATTATGTCGATGGTTGTGAGGTATATAAATAGATTATAGGTTCTCCTAGTAACAAGTGAGCCGTCTTGAGTCTTGAGCTTTATAATGGAGTCAGGAGTCCTGCAGTAAAACAAATAAATAATGATTGGTGCTTAACATTTACGTAATACCATCAAAAATGTGTAATCTTTCTATAGTAGTATGTAGTAGCAGTATAATATGTTGTTCTTACCTAAAGTTTCTGGCCTGCATACCACCCATTCTCATTCCTCTTGATAAAGTTTGACGCTCACATTTAACATCTCTGGATTTGATTGAAAGAATATTAATTATGATGCATGTTATTGTCTGAAATGAAATTTACCTTATTATTAATTGGATTTTATTATATTTATAGTAATGAATTAATTGTAATATAATTAGTTAACTATTGTGCTTACCTTAAGTGGAAACCATGTTTTCGTATGTTCTTTCCAATGTAAGTCTTTCCGGGGTTCTCGCATGCCGTGATAGCAATATTATAATTATAAATTGTATATAACACAAATTGGAAATAGCTGAACTGGTTCACTGATGGATTGCAAAGACTACAGGTACTTCTTTTTATTTAACATTTTTTTTTTCTCACTCAATGCATTATTAATGATTAATTTTCAATTCAATTACGACTTGTGTTCCGTTACGTAATGACACGACCGGTCCTGAGCGCAGCGAGTTACCTCTGTGTGCACTCATGTAGTGTTCGGAGGACGAAATACGCATATTGCTGAATATATTTGTTCTGTTCCGTTGTTCCTGTGCACGAGTTCTTTGTGTTGTATGCGTTATGTCTATATGTCTGTGGTTATATCTATTAATAACTTGAAATTCTTTATCATAGACCACATTCATACTTTTATTTCTTCTGTTTATTGTGTATCAGATTGTCTGTTTACCTACTTTTTGTTTTATTTAATGTATATTTAGGGGACTATGGGTTTATTTATAAGTTAATTTTAAAATATGTATTTTTTATATGTGTGTAACTGTTTGTCCCTAAATAAATTAAAAAAAAAAAAAAAAAAAAAGATTTTTATATGTTATTCAAATGAATATTGCTGGAAAAAGCGGTGAGATATCAAGTTTAAATCTTCAAAATATACGTGAAAGTGTAAACCAACCCGGTTTCTTTACTTTTCTGGTATAATGAATTGGAACAGACTTTATGTCCGGCTTTATCCGGACGACTGGCAACGCTGATTACATCTATATAGTCGACTGACAGCGAACTAGAGCTATCAAACGGTTCAGTGTTACACTTGGTAAATTACCGTCTTTTGCGGACAAGCGTAGGCGACTTGTCGACCTAGTGTGACGCCATTAGATAGAAATAAATATAGTTACGTCCGCCAACCCTCGGGGCATAGGAGTTTAGTCACCTGTGGCTCTAAATATAATAGTTTTCTGATTGTTTTCAGGGCGGTGCAGGCACAACAAACACTCAAAGCATAGTGAACGCGATGACGGCGCAAGTGAATGCAGCATTAGCCGCCGGACGCGCTATCGCGCCGGGCACGCGATTGGTCGGTGCAGACGGCGCCGTCGGCATCGTACGACACGATCGCACCGTCCACTTGGCCGCTTTGCCACATTCCGGTAAGAGTTCTTTGAAAACGGTAATTCTATATTTTACTCTACGAAAAGTTTGCTGGTACTTATTAGTGTCCGTCTATGGTATTGTAGTTCCCAAAGTGACTTTGCACTGACTCAAATCCGTATTTTTTTTTATGAAAGTTTATTTAATAGTTATTATTCTTGTATGCTGAATATCTGCTAAGTTGTTTAAAATCATCAACTTTTGCCCAGTTAGTGTAAGGGCCATAAAAATAGTGTTTATTATACTTCCACTTGTCCGCATCGGTTTGAAATTTGATATCTATGTAAATCCAATGACGCTGCAACAATATGATGGATCTGGACGCTGCAACCAGGACAGCCTGCAGACTACTCGACTCTTCAACGACGTACAGCAGAACTATCGTGTTAGGACTCATTTAATTGATATTGACGAATAGTAGCTAGACAGATAGTGACTTTAGTGGCAGTAGAGTTCCTTGTGAAAGAGTTCGTCCAGGGTAGTACTACCACCTTACCTATTTCTGCCGCCAAGCAGTAATGTCAGCGTTATTGCGTTTCGGTTTTGAAGGGTAACGGAAATTACAGGCACATGGGACTTGTCAACTTATGTCTCAGGGCGACTGGCGCAGTGGCAATGCCCCTCGGATAACTGCAACCGATTTCTGTTCTTGTTCATCATGTCACTTGATATCATAAAAAAAAAAATTGCATTGGGATTTTGGAAGCATAGTATAAAAAGTGTATAATATATCTGCTAAGCGGTAGAAATAGGATGGATACGAGGAATTTGGCTAACAGATACACCGCGAGTAAAGGACGTCTCTGTCTGTTCCCATTCCACATGTTTTCGATATTTGCAGCGACTGTGGGTGGCAACGTGGGCGTGGGGTCGGGCGTGTCGCGCCCCCCGCCCCCGCCGCCGTACCCGGGCACGCTGCGCGCGCCGCAGCCGCACCAGCACCACACGCCGCACCCCCCGCCACCGCCCTACCCGCAGGTAAGACCGCAGCTGCCGTCAGCGCCCCTCGCACACGAGCGTCCCGTTCGTACTGCCATTGCGTTGAAGCGCTCTCTCTTGATTGGCACCAACAGAAATGGCATCGGGATAATCAAAGCTCAACCTGGCCTTTGCTTAAACAGTGCAACTTTTGTACACGTTGAAATTCTAATGCAATATTTCTTTTCTGTCAATCGATTGAGACCTGCTGCAACTTTCTTATACGACCTGTTCAAAAACGCATTCGAAATTAACTTGGAAATTATACTTACAAATTGAATGATGAATCAGTAATATTACTAATTTATCTAAATTAATATTATTAATTATGAATAGTAACATCTTGGAGGATTTTTGGATACATTGTCGTGCATGCAGTTATATTTTTATTATCTACGTGTTTTGGACTCTATTTGATACAATCAAGTTGAGTTCATAGCTTTAAATGTACGCTGAAGCTTTGGTTCACATTTAGGCTATGCTTGCATTGCCGACGATAATACAGGTTGGCAAGAATTCGTGCTATATTTTATTATCCTTGTCATAATGTAGATGCGATTTGGAAAAGTCATTAACTCATCAAGAATGAATTGTAGCCAAAAGTCGCAGTCTTTTCTCGGCTTATGTAAGCATAGCATCAATCGGAATTTAATTTGGATTCCCAAAAATTTGTTATTGTTTTAAAAATTGGCAATATGTATACTTGTAGTTGCTTTTTAATGTTTTATTTGTTTTAAACATTGTCATTAGTTTCGTTGTATTTCGTTAAGTATCTAGACCCTGGCTTTTGAAACCGAAATGGTCTCTTACAACACGATCCTTACGTTTGCTTCTACTCTGTAAAATAGAGCGAAGACCTACCCCAATTCCACCCTGTATTCGTAATGTCTAACAAGGTGAAAGTAAATTTCAGACTCCAAATCGCCAAAATAAGTCAAGCTATATTATTAAGAGTTATTCTAAAAGGCATGCCACAGCCCTTATCATTTTATAGAACGAAAAATGAACGCAAATTTCGAAATGATAGCAGAGGTCAGTTGATATCTAAATTGGTTATATACTAAAAGTTTAAGGTCTGTACAACCTCAAATGGCTTTGGTTAATTCCGCATAACAGGGAAAGTGTTAAATCAATAACTTTGGAAAAAATATATTTTTGCAAATTGAGGAAATTGAGGAGGAGAAATTGAGTTTTGGAAATTGAGGATATACATACGGTGTGAAAACCCGATTCCTACAAATTTTCATGGTAGAAAAAAACCACAAACTTACCTCGAAATTTTACAAGAAAACCGATGTATTCAGTGGGCACTTTATATATACCACCATTGACTTACAAATAAATGGACGACGGGTCTAATACAAAAACCACGAAAAAAATGTCCCAAGTCAACCTATTCGAAATTTAAAATGTAATGTCATCGCAGTATCGCGCTGTCAGTAGAACAAATGAAGACTAAAGCGGAGTGTCGCGCTCTGTATACGATTTTAGCGCCTACGCCGACGTCCATATAATTGTAAGTCAATGAAGAAAACCGATGTATTCAGTGGGCACTTTATATATACCACTGATTTTTTTTTATATCAACCGAACTAGAATAGGATACGTAGGTATACTATGTATATTTTTTACATTTTTCGTTTGTAAAAAAATCTGAAATAAAGCCAGTGTCCCTACCGCTCGACGCAAGCAAAGTGAAACGTATTAGTACGGGAAAAATTTGAATTGAACTAACGCCCGGATAAATAGTACGATGTTTACAATATTTAAAATGGTGATTTGACATAAATTTATTATACAGACTCAGTCTGGAGCTTAGTTGCTCAGAGCGGAGACACCAACGTTGAAAGGAATTTTTCTTTGTAACAATAACAAACTAGTGGCGAATATTCACCACGGTTGTCAAGCTGGATTGCCATACAGAGGTCCCGGGTTCGATTCCCGGGCCGGAAGAAATATTTGTATGATCTGCATTTATTTCTTTCGTGACTTTGGGTGTAATTTGTGGTTGTCTACCTATGTGTGTCCATGGCACCAGCGATACAGGGTTTCCCTAGTGCGGGGTTGTGAGTGTCTGCATTATTATTATTATATTATCATAGTCAAACGTCGTGGTATTCAATAAATAAACATTAATTTTATTAATTTTTACCATTTTAAAAATTATAACATTTTAAATACTCTCCAAAATTAATTTTGGATAGACGGTAAGCACTTTGTCTCGTATCACCGTTGTCATCATCCACAGCTCAACCCATTGCTGGGTACACCCACTTACAGCTAGGTGATGGCACAAACCACAGGATGCCTATCATCTTGCATCTTCGTCCTGTAACAAAGACCTTATTGTCAAGAGACCCTTTAAATTACGAAGTAAATAAAGAACACATTTAAAAAGCGACTACAAGTAAAAAAGGCTTAAATAATGTGAACCAGCAAAAGTTATTCTTACGCTTGTCCGTTTCAATCGACAATGTGTACGTAGAGTATATCCATGCCAATAGGTCTACATTGGATTACATCGGTGGTGGTACATTGTACAAACAAAATTCGCGCTTGTTACAACAAGCTTTAAAGACTAATATTGCATGGGTATTTTGTTTTTTTAAACGCCTTTCGTTCCTATAAGATCCGTAAGGTTTGTGCAGATTTATTTTCCAGTATCAGATTTGTTTTTTTTACATGTTAGAGGACACCATTTACATTTAAATTTGATGGATATAATTCTGTTTCTAAATAAAGTACTTTATAAAGTTGATTAGACCAAGTCAAAACCCGTAGCGTGAGTATGGACCTTGTAGGAACGTAAAGGCTTCGGTTTGGCGTGTGTTGCGGGCGTACGGCACGCGTCATGTCGCGTAGTGAGTGTCCGTGGCGTGATGGTTGCGGCGTTGTGTTTGCATGTCCGTTTGTCTGCGGCAGGCCTTTGAGCCCGACTGGCCCGACTGGATGCACCGCCGGCCGCTGCTGCTGCAGGTCAGATTATATAACCCACCCCTTGCACACCTAATTCCTGTCTACATAAAGTCTCCTTTTGTGTATCCTGTGTTTTCCTATTCCAACACGTAGTACTTTACTATAATATTGACATGAAGTCATGTGCATTGTGAACCTTTGGAGTTGACTTCTTAGAGCATTTGCGTGTTACGTCCGAATTGTATCGGAATGTAAATGACGGTCCGAAATGTCATAGAGATCATTTTATCTCTAGGTGTACAAGCGATAGTCGTATTTTCATGGATTTTAATCGGAATTAGTGCACAAGCGACATACGAAATGGGTCCGATTTTTCTAGATATGTATAGTCTCGGGGTCTACTTTCGATCTCCGTCCGACATCCGTCCGAAACAATTACTGCCAAATAAGCAATACTTGACCAAATGAAAAAACACGTGATGCGAATGAAGCTTCATACCGGGTACTTGTCTTTTAATTTTGCGATATTACTTATTTGATAGTAGTTGTTTCGGACGGATGTCGGACGGAGATCGAGAGTAGACCCCCGGATCCGGAACGAATACAAATCGGATGTGCTGCGCAAACGCACCTAATCTTCTATATGTATTTAGAGTTGATTTCTGAATCTTCTCGCTACAAATCGTAGCCTTGAGGATGCAATATGTTCAAAGGATAACCTTGTGGCGTTGCCACCATTACAGAGAAGTATTTTCAACTATTATCAGTTTTTTCTTAACCTTGTCACTACAATATATGGGTTTTTGTAAAGAATTTTTTGACGATATAAATATAAAGGAAAACTTTCCTCTATTACTTTCCGTAAACTTCACTGTTGTACAATTGGAATATCTTAAAAATTTTCACAATTATTTCTCTGTTTCGACTCAAGCGCAAACGTTTGAATGTCAAGTTAGCTCCTTATTTACCCCAAAACCCTTACTATTTTCCTAAATATTCCATTTTCTACCCTTTACAAACCTAATCATAACCTCTAGTACCACAAACAACACATAGAGGTCGTATCACGCTAGTCACCGTCTAAAACGCTTGTCGCTTACTCGCCGCACGCATGCGTACTAACTAACCTTTGGACCTTTTCAGCATTTTCCCACACTAACGACGCTAACGTTACATCGCACAAGTTCTTATACTAATTAATAATATTTTAAAAACGTAACAATGGATGTTACATAACGGTGGAGTAAAATTTTTATAGGTTTTAATCGTGATTATATTATAATGACTTTTGCGTTTCTAGGAAAGTTACACTTGTTTTTTTTTTGAGACTGTCTATTTTTGGTCGTTACGGAATGTAATGATATTTTAAATATAAACAATAGGGAATTGGACAACTTTTCAGAAAGTATTTAATATTAACCATAGTGGAACCTTCAAAAATATTATTTTAAATATAGCTTTCAAAACCATGTTTAAATTTAATTAAAATAAATAACTCAACTCAGAACACGTGACGTCATTTGTAGGTCAAACACACAGACAATGTTACTGCGATAATTTCACGTATTGATTGAGTTTGTATAGCTTTTTATTTTTGATTAAATGGAAAAAAAACACAAGTCAACACGCGAACACTGAGCACGGTGACGTTTGATTTTTGTTTTGTATGACGTCACGTGGTTGATTTCTGTGTTTGTATAACAAATTTTTTAATCCGAATATATATTTCATATATATATAAACTTTAAAAATACAAATCGTTACTATTTCGCAATGTTGATTGAAATATCGTTTTTTATTATGGAAACATTATATCCAACTACATTTAATAGTATGCCAACTTACTTATTTCTGCCGTCAAGCATTAACTGCGTTCCAGGGGGTCTACTCCCGATCTCCGTCCGAAACAATTACTGCCAAATAAGCAATACTTGACCAAATGAAAAGACGCGTGATGCGAATGAAGCTTCATTCTTGATACTTGTCTTTTAGTTTTGTCGAATATTACTTATTTGACAGTAATTGTTTCGGACGGATGTCTTACGGAGATCGAGAGTAGACCCCCAGTTTTGAAGGGTAGAGGGTGTTGTTGAAACTACGGGCACATGGTGCTTGGGCGCCACGGTAGTACCCTTCACATCTTTGCGATTTAAAGCTTTAAAGCTCTGAGTAGCGCTGTGACTGCTATAGGTAGGCGTGTATAAATTGTCCGTCCCGTTACTTAATATCATAAAAAAAATTAACGTTTTTTTTTCTGATTGTTGCCCGATTGCCTTATTCAACAAAAGGGATATAATTTTAGCTTAAAATAGTTGCAAATACTGTACGGTATTTAAAACAATTAACAAAATGAACGGTGACGGCATTGACATGCCAGGTCAACGGGGGATGGTAGAAGATTTTTTGAATAGTGGTTGATTTTCTAGAACAAATGATCCTGTAAAGTTTTACTACGACTACATATGTGATATCCATATAGACGTTGCAAGTGTACGGTTCTGAATATAAAGCGATATACAATGTTTCGGAGCTTTATCATCCAACTTCAGTTTTACTCTTTATGGAATCGCCACTGCTCTGAGAGAAAACACAACTATTGAATTGTGGATTATAAGGATGACCGTTATACTTTTAACGGTCATTCTTATTGACGATGTGACCAACGTTGTTACGTGTTTGCCTAAAAATAATAATGTACAGAATAATATAAAAGCGAATAAAAGAGGATAACCGTGCAAAGCGAAAAACATAAAAGATGATGTTGATATTACAAATACAATTGCGCTCAAGAACAAATAAAATCAAATAAAAAAACAGGGCACTCTCTACTATGCAATCTTGAAGTGACTGGATATTCCGTCTTTCTGACTCAATGCTGTTAAAAACCACTGTTTGTTCTAATTATGTGTCGCCAAATATTTTTTAGAAACAGTGATTGTAATGGCAACACTTTTGATAGCTAATTTGCAGAAACAGTGGTTGAAACGGCTGTATTTCGCTTTACGAATGATAATTGAGGGGAAAAAGAGAAAAAAGAACTATCTTTCTCTTTATATATGAGACAGCACAGCACTATTACACATTTAAAAAAGCGACCAGAGGCCTTACCATGAGCTCTTACTACAGTTCAGTATAGGTTGGTAACGACAAAAAAGCGGGATATATATACTATATAGCGCTGTCTCACGATTCCTCTTAGGTCCTAAACTGAATCGTAATAAGGGTTCATGGTAAGGCCCCAGGTTGGCGGCAGACCGATGACCGCCAGTACGTGTAATAAATACTTAGATTTGTTTACTTTGATTGCTAAGCGCGCTTAATTTAGCTTACAAAGAAAAATTAAGAAAAGAAATCGCCCTACAGTAGTAGAATGGCTAATAAATTATAAACACTCAGCCTCGCTTTTCAATAGTAGATTTTTAATGCAAACCATTGACCAACCGCCTTTCTCGAGTACAACGATTCATAGTTAACATCAACCCTGTCCAAATAAGATACATATCGAGCTGGGGACATATATTTGTAAAACCAAACGGTATTCGCTTTATAGCTCATTACTTATACTTGCAATGAATCAATTTACAGAATATATAAAACATAAACTTGATATTTATATTAAAACTTATACAACTTGTAATCAAGTGGAATATATCCGTCTCATCTTGGTCGCGATAATAATTGTAGTATTTATTAGCGGTATTATTAGAAATTACAAAAGAAACGTTAGGCGTTACATTGTCTTCCTAATGGAGAACTTTAGCCACTGGCATGGGATATAAGTAACAGTAGAGCTCCTTGTGATAAAACTCGTCCGAAGAAGTATACACGTATACACCTATATCTGCCGACAAGCAGTAATATGAATGTACTGCGTCCCAGTTTCCTATTAAATTTAAATATATTTACAACAAATGTTACGGTAAACGTAAACGGTCACTCCTCCCGCACCGCACAGCTAGCTTCCTTAGAAACCGATTCATTGAGGTAGGCCTGTAATAAATAATATCAAATTTGTTATAATTATTAATACAAAATCTAACACTTAGAAAAAATTCCTTCGTTCCGTTTCTTTGTAATAAAATAAATTCTGAAATAAAGCCAGTGTCTCTGCCGCTCAACCCCGCCAAAATGAACCTTAACCTTATTAGTACGAGAAAAATTGCGTCCGTTGAAATTTCAAGTGCATAGTGCTAATGAAACTCAGTATGACGGATGCATTGACAGTACCCGTCAAGTCTTTGCGATTTAATGCTCTTAGCGACGACGCTGCAACTGATAACATAAACAATGTATTATAGTAGAATTATTTTTCTGAGAAAATGCTGTAATAGCCCGAGATATACATAAGTCGCCAAAGTTGAAGACAAGCTTTTACCTAATTTAACAACTATTGTACTAGGACGACAGACTAAGAAGAAGAGCAGCGTCGAAAAGAGATATACATTGCGGAAAATTAATTTAGCTCCTGATAAATATTAAAACTTAAATCAATCAAATTTAAAAAAAAATATTTACCTCACTCTTGCCGCATTGTGTTAGTTATTGCGTTAAAGTTACCCATGGAAATGTATTCCCGAGTGTGTTGATTTGCATTCTCGCCATATTAAAGAAATTAACAATAAAAATAATGCTAAAGCATCTAAAAATATTTAAAAAATATTCTGTTCAATATTCTGGCTAATTGCATCTAGTAAAGTTTTGTAAAACAAAAAAGTGTCGCAAAAGTGTATTCACCGCATAAGATAGTGACCCAGCCACTCGCTTTACCGAGCTACACGTAATCTTTCTCGATCGCTTATTTACCTATTTTTTAAACCATGTTTATGTACTAGTATTGTTATAATTTACTAATTATTTACATGAGTTAGAAAAGTTGACTGAAAAAAGATTTTTCGTAACTTACATTTGGTACTTACCAACTTTAGGTTACATGAAAGTAGTGCTAGAAGTGCCTAGCTCCACAGCTGTGGGCAGGCTCCGTACCGGAGCCAGTCACAGATATGCAGAGTTTCGTTTCAACTTAGCACATTCTTCACAACAGAAAAAGCAGAAAGAAACTAGATACGATTTTTGCGCGCAATGCTTTGACACGTAATCTCCGTAAACTAAACGTTTGACATCATGCCATAAGAACGTACTTTATGGTGATGCACATGGTAGCGGTTTTTTTGCGCTCAGTTTATATCACACACAAACCACGTTGCATTTCGTGAGAAACTAGAACGTGTGCGCGGTGAACGCAGACGTAATACGCAAGGTGGACTGATGATGTACCAATCACGCGCTCGATACGATACTCCCCCGTCTCTACTCGTACCCTACCACCAAATAGATCGAAAATGCATATTTTCTGCGCATACTGCGCATAGGTCATTGTCCAAATGGTTGCCGGTACCTGTGCCACGTGTATTGCAAGTACCTTTGGATCAAACTTGGTTACCGCAATTAAATAAAAAATAAGAATTTAGGAAATTAATTTTTTTATTTATTTTTTAGTGATTTGGGTTCAGTTTCGGATATAGAATGACCTCTGTGAATATGGCGAGAATGCAAAACAACACATTGTATAACAAACACCAAAATAAACATATTTACTTTATTTAACACAAAGTTTCCCCAAAAATATTTGTCTATTTTGATGAGAACTATATATATACTCTAGTGAGTTAAAGAATCTAATTTAAACATTTTATTTTTTAGACTTAACTATCACAAATTATAAAATGACATTATTGTCACAGTCAAATAATAATATTGGACAATTGAAAATTTCTAAAAAAGATAAATCCAATAATGCTCTTCTGCTATACTAGATTGCGACACTAAAGTAGGTACTATTTTTAGATTTATTAGCACTGATTGTAGTTTCACAAATCGAACTACTCGTTCGTAGTGTGCACACTATCTTAGCTCCTACCCGCTCAGCATTAGATAGCAAATACATTCGGCACTACTTTCTTTAAGCATTAACTTGCCTTACGGGCTACCAACTCTCGGCCGACTGAGGTACATGTATGTTGCTTTATCTTCTTGTAGATGTTAAAATTTTCTCCAAGAATCTTGACGGTTCTCTGTCGTAGTGCAGTTTGTTTCAGTCGGCCTCCCAGGTCAAGATGAGACAGGTATCCAACACTGCTCTTTGTTTTATACCGAAATTAGCACTATATTCTATCTAACGTATAACGATTAAAAACAAACACAGAGTTCAGTGAAAGAGCTAGGGAAACTAATCGTGGCACAAACGCAACCGGCGACCAAGTCGGTCGGTAGCGGGGCCGTCGCTCGGCGAGTGACGTCACCGGGCACACTTTAACCATCAGAACGTAAATCAGGAGCAACCGTTGCTTCTGGAGGACCTCGTGGAGCAGGAGAAGCGCGAGCAGGAGCGCGAGACGGGCGACTGGGGCGCGGGCGGGGCGGTGGCGGCCGGGTCCAGTCTACCCCCCGCGGGCGCGCTGGGCCCCGGCCCCGGCCCCGCGCCGGCGCCGAGCATCCCGCTGTACGCGGGCGTGGCCCCGGCAGCGCCGCCGCCGCCGCCCGAGCGCGCCGTTTCCGAGGCCGACCACCACGCGCGGCTGCTCTACGAACAGTGGCTCAAGCAGTACAACGCCTTCGCCACCGACCAGCTGCGCTACTACGAGGGTGAAGTGCAAAAGCTCCGCAAGATTCGCAAGGTGAGCAGTAGTGCGCTTTCGTGTTCGTGAGCTTCAGTAGTAGCGTGGTAGCCTCCTCCGCCGCGGTTACCTACTTTTTCTTACAGGTGGCACACGGGCTGATGTCGCACCGTACCTTGTCAATAACCGAATGATACTGTGTACTAACGGGGGTGTACGCGCCGCTGGCTTTTCCTTTCTCGCCTCTATACGGGTTTGTTTGGGGTTGCAGTCGCTGAACAGCAAGCAGCGGCAGTTGCGTAAGTCCGGCAATGAGCTGATGCCTAACGACGCCGCCGAGCTGCAGCGGGTGTCGACGGAGCAACAGGCTTTGCAGAAACACCTCGAAGCAGCTCGTAAACAGGCTCGTCAGCATAGCATGCTTATACAGGTACCAAAGAAAATTTCACAAGTTTTAGTTCACATCACACATTGATAATATATAAACCAATCGACATATAAATTATTTCAGGAGTACGAAACGAAGCACCGTCAACAAAACCCGCAACTTGCGCAGCAGACAGTAATAGGGCAACAACAACAGATCACGACCAACCAGACTGTATTCACACAAAACCAGAATATGGCGCAATCGCCTCAGATGCAACAACAAAATACTATTACCCGACCTATGCAACTCGGCATACAGGGCGCTGGTATCCAACAGCAGCAAACGCTGATTCGCACACAACAAGTTATCAACTCGGATGGACAACTCTCCCAGCAGAGAATTGGTCTCGTTACGTCACCGTTGAATGCTCAAGGAAGAATACTCCAAGGAGGACGAACACTTGTTATTGAGCAATCAGGAGCACCTCAACAGCAGCTAGTCAGGCAATTATCTGGAGTTCAAGAAAGGCCTCAGTCCATGGGTGGCATGGTTCAGTTCGGGCAACAGCAGATGGCAGGCGTTAGGAACACGATCCCGGCGGGTAGTCAGACACCACGTCCGCCGGGCTCACGGCCCGCAATGTCGCCGCTTCACGTTCAATCTCCACATTCTCAGTCACCTCTGCATTCCCTGGCGCCACAGTCCCCGCTCCACCACTTAACGTCTCCAATGCAATCTCCGCTGCACTCTCAGCAATCTCCTCTTCACCATACGTCTCAATCTCCGTTACATCCGTCGACCCAGTCGCCTCTGCACACGCAGCAGTCGCCGTTGCACTCTCAGCAGTCGCCGATGCATGTGCAGCAGACAAGCATGCCACAGAGCCCGATGCATCCTCAGCAAAGCCCGATGCATCCTCAACAGAGTCAAATGCATCAGCAGCAGTCGCCTATGCATCAGTCTCCGATGCATCAGTCACCGCTGCACAGCCAGCAGCAGCAGCAGCAGCAGATGTCGACGCAACACTCGCCGATGCACCCACAACAGAGTCCAATGCACAGCCAGCAGAGCCCAATGCATTTACAGCAGAGTCCGATGCATACACAGCAGAGTCCAATGCAATCGGCGATGTCACCCCAACACTTCTTGCAACAATTGCAGGTACAGAGGACTAGTCCGCAGTTGCCAACGCCTAGTCGAAGCCCACAGGTGAGAATATTTTGATTGTTGTAGTAATATTTTGAGATTGTAAAACATTTTGATACAATTTGAAGCTCACCATTTGTTGTATCTAACATTATGTTTTGTTTTCAGATTTATCAACAATCACAAATTCAAAGTCCAGTGGCATCACATTCCCCACAAATGCAAAACGTAAATATACAATATTTTCAAAACGAAGTAACATTAATTTAGATATATGCACAAGCCAAAGTTATTTTGTTACAGAATGACTTTACAACGGGAAGATTTCCCCGGCCAGCACCTGGCTGTTCGCCGCTACCAACTAGATTTGCTAGGCCTCCTCATCATCAACAGGGTAAATTTGATTTTGTTTCTAATTTGCGGTGATTTTATTAGTCTCTTAGATTTAAAAGCTACGCTCGATGTCGGTATATTATACGTCATTCTATACTTTGCAAACTTATGTTTTATCATATTGTAATTTATGTTTATTATTTTTTCTCAGGAATGAGGGTAGCCTTTAATGATGGTAGAGTGCCTTATGGAAGTCGCCAGCAAACATCTCCGCATGGTAGTCCGCAGCCCATGCCATCGCCTGGAAACCAAGCTAACGAAATGGCTGTGAGTAGACATTGTGAAAAAACTCATATACAAATTATTATGATTATGAGAAACGCGAAATCAGATATTCCTTCCTTTCTTAGCGTCGTAAATGTTTATAGGCGGCTATAACCACCAAGAGGACCGTCGGTTTGTTTATCAAAATACTATTAATAACCTTCAAATTTTACCTATCTAATCTACAGAATAGCTACACAGCTTAACAATTTAATGTCAACATTTGTATGACATGACTACGTGTATGAAAAAGCTCCTTTTGACCGTGAGAGTATGTTTGTCGTTCCAGCGGCAGCAGATGGCGGCGCGTCAGCAATACAGCCCGATGGGCACAGCGCCCGCGTCGCCGGCGCCGGGGGTGGCGCGCTCGCCGCACGTAGCGCGCACACCCACGCCGTCGGCCTCGCCGGCCGCCTCGCCCGCGCCGCACCACCAGGACCACGGCGGAGGTACAGGCTGGGTGGCATTCAACTCGATCTTTTTTGATCATGAACGTACCGCACAAACTTATATATTTTTCCTTCTTTCCCACAGGTGGTCACCATTCCCATCACATGGCGCCTTTTCCGCCCGGTTACAGATATTTTAAAGTGGGACTCTTCGGCGGAGCTCCAGTGTGGCCCAATAAAGATGACGCTCGTCGGCCAGCACACATCAACAAAGTCTCTATTTTGAAGAGACGCACTCCGCCGCGACCGAGATTCGCCGGCAAAACAGCTGCTCCCAGCACCTCAGAAGAAAGATCTACTGACGAAGGAGAAACAAGCGATGCGAGGAAATATGTCCTGTACTCGACAGACGCTGTCGAATATGCATCACCTACTGACGAAGCACGAATAAGCTTCAAGGACGACGACGAAGACATGGAAGAATTCGTCGAACATCTAGACGACGATGACATTGTAGTGGTTGAACCTGGAGCGATATCGCCAGAAAAGCAAATTGCTACCGAAGAAGATTTTGAAGAATTAATAGATAGCGGCAAACCCGAAGATGAAGTAGAAGAAGAAATTCCAATGGAGAAGCCTACTAGAACTGAAACTACAACTAAAACTGTTGCTGTTATTAGTCTAGCGCCAGCTAAGCAGCCTACTGCAAATGTGCAGCAATACAAAATAGCTCAAAACACTGCTCTATCTCGGTTGCCTGTTCTAAGCGCGACTGTGTTGTCTCCGCATTCCAATACTAAAATACTCAATGAGGTGTCTCAAGCTACAGTCGCATCTGTCTCAATTGCAAATCAAACTATTTCTGTACCAGTATTGAAAAGTCTTTCTGTACCAATTGCGAATGTAGCTGGCCATCCTGGTGGTGCTAAACAACTAAAGAAAGTTCCTCTGCACATTACCAATTCGCCTTTAAACATTAACATGTCATCGGCTCCTGCATCATCTAAACCTATCAGCTCTGTAATTAGCGTTATTTCGTCAAATGTTACAAAAGCATCATTGAATCCAGTAATCACTTTAGCAACTTCAAATACAGCAGGTACTTCTAGAGTACCAGTCTCAATTCTGACACAACATCAAGTTAAACAGAAAATTGTTAAAACTATTGAAAAACCTATGGCTTTATCACTATCCAATACAAAACTGTCAAGCTTAGCTGTGACTCATGATGCAACGCTCCCAGCAAAGATATTCCAAGATGAAGCCGCTTCGCCAGATAGCACTGTTACATCAGAAAATATTCCCGAGAAAGACTTACAAAATCCCCATACGTCTCATCTATCTATGACATCACAGGGAACTTCACATATGGAGCAGAAATTGGCACCAGTGCTTAAAGACTCCAGAGAAATAGACATCGAGTCTGAAATCAGCCAACAAACTGAGCTACCTCATACTTTGTGTATGGATAGAACACCGTTATTGCTTGGTAAAGCAGATATTAAAAGCCCAGATCCAATTCCCGAAAAGATTCCTGACAATATCATGGAAGGTGACGACGAAGACAAACCTGAGGATAATGTGCAAGGGAATATTTTATTGCAATATAATAAACCGGAACCACCGCTCCAAAATCCACCACCACCTGAATCTAAGCCGGAAGAAAACGTAGTAAAGACGATAAAAGCTATTGCCAATCAAACTAAGGAAATGGTTATAGATTCCAACATGCAAATAACCTCGGACATGGCTCATGATTCTGTACAAATATCGATTCCTTCTCCGACTCCTTCGCAAGAGAGATATCTTAATGATATTACCATGCAAGAGCATCCGGTAACCTCAGAAGGCAATCCAAAACACGTGGAAACATTTGAAGACATGCTTAGCATTCTCGAAAATATTAATGACGATACGAAGACTTATGGGAAACAACAGTCAAAACAACAACAACAACAGCAGCAGCAGCATCTGCAACATGCTAATCGGAGTGTTCAAAATCCCAACCCTATTACCACAAAACAAGAAATTAAAGAAACTCCAGAACAATCATTTTCTAAAAGAGAAACGGAACGGCTTGGTCTTCAATCTGCTACGATACCTCAACTTTCACCGTTATCACAGCCAGCCGAACTGACATCCAACATGGCGAATGTGTCTCAACAACTCCGCACAATAATGTCATCGTTAAATCCAAACACAGGAAAAACAGAATCACAACCTACACCTCAAGTAGTGCGGAAAATTAGCGATTCCACTACTCCAACTCAAGTTAATTTTGAAAATTTATTACCTTCGTCAAAAGTTGAAGTCGCAGTGTCAAGGCCATCTTCGGTCCAAAGGATTGAAAAAGCACCCAGTTCTATCCCAAGTTCAGAAAACTTGCCGATGAGTGCAGCTCAAATGATCGGTACACGTGTCAATACGCTCTCGACCATGGGCCAAATGAGAAAATCACCCACTGTGTCTCCAATACACTCTCCCGTAGGAATGCAACAAGGAAACTTGATGAAATCACCGCAAGTTACATCGCCTCTAGTAGCAAATCAACCTTTTACATCAGGTGAAGAAAATTCAACTTCAATACCCTCACAGATGATTCAAATGCCTGCCCTATCTAAAATACAAAGTTCTTCAACACCGTCGACAATTTTACATTCGGGTAATACTATTACTACAAGCTTCAGTGGTTTACAAAAGGGGCAACAAATACCGACTAGCATTTTGGGACACACATTGCTGCAACCTACGAGACAAATAAACACCAATAATCTAGCGTTTAGCCAGCAAAGTATCAGTTCCAGTCAACCACCTGCTTTAGTCATGACTTCTAGACCGATGATGGGTAACAAAGAACCGGCGCCTAATGTGACTGCTAGAACACATACTGTTGCCAGTACAGGCATAAGCCCTATGCCACAAAAACCTGGGCAGGCGCCTATTAACTTTATTACGTCCTCTAAACTACTGCACACCCAGCTAACGTCGCCATTGAAACGATCAAAATCTACAGACGAACCTAAAAGTGAAGTTATTGTGGGTCACATTCAACCTACAAAGAGACATAGCGTGGAATCTGTAATTGTGAAATCGGAGCCAATGGAAACTGATGAACATAGTGCTGCTCCACCGAGCACTGCTGATCCATCGGGAAATAAGGCAAATCAGCAAAACGCAGCGAATCAGAGGAACGATGAGTCGCAGAACGTTTTATTAAAACAACTTTTGCAAACTACTACGACTACAGCGACTGTGGTTCCTCCGCGAACTATGACTATACAAAGGACTGCGCCAGCCCTCGGCACCATTCCATCCTTAGAGGCTCAACTGGCGCGACCTTCGATCCCGCCGCCTACGCTAGCGTTGACGCCAGAGGTAGAAATACCAAAGAGCTCCCCACGACACATGCCTGGAATGAATTCACCGTTTGCACCGCGCCCCATGCAGCAACCTCAGCAACAGCTCCAACAGCCGCAGCAACATCTCCAACAGCCGCAGCAACATCTCCAACAGCCGCAGCAACATCTCCAACAGCCGCAGCAACATCCACAGCAACAGCAGCAGCATCCGCAGCAACATCCACAGCAACAGCATCCGCAACAACAGCATCCGCAACAGCAGCATCTGCAACAACATCCGCAACAACAGCATCCACAACCGCATCCGCAGCAACAAATGACTGTGCCCACATCATCCATGTCGCCCTCAATGCAAACTTCTACACAATCTTTAATGGACGTGAGGAAATTACAACCAATGAAAGTCATTCCCAAGGAGGAAACCACACCAATCCCCGAAAGTTCTCCGACTATGAAATCTATGCAGATGTATCCTATGAATATTGATAATCAACAGCTTCAACAACTTCAGCAACAGGGTGTAAAGCGAGAAGTTGCTCCGCCTCAACAAAGTCCAGTTCAACGACCTTTCACGCCGATGGACGTAAAAAAAGAACTATTAGATGAAAGTTCTCAGCAATCTGCTACTTCAGGTGTATCTACTGCTTCTGATCAGGGCAAATTAGATGTCCAAATGAAAGAAGAGTACCCAGAAAGTGTGAATATGGACCCATCCTCGGAAGTTAATCCTGCCGAAACACCATCCGAAGCCAAGAAACGCAAAAGACGAGAATACCAGCAAAAGAAACGAAAGCAAATGCAAATGAACATGAAGGCAGCTGCTGAAAACAATTTAACCTCAGCCAACGCCAAAAAGAGACCCCGTAAAGGTTCGAGATACGAGGAAGATTATGATACATTTATTGACAATCTTATGACTCAGTTACGTCTTCTACCAACTATGCAGATTCAGGAACCAGCATTGACTACGAACTTTTCTGTATGTCCTCTTTTTGGTTCGGGTGACTTGACTAAACTAAAAAATAAGGACTATGATATTTTGAAAGGTGATTTGATTGGGGAATTTGGTAATGCGAGAATTCCTAATGTAGCCGACTATTACAACACCAAACCATTCGGAGAACAAGAACCCCTACCTGAAAAACCACCAGCGTCAACGCAAAGAGGATTCTATGATCAAGAATTCCAACCTATTATGTTCGACGATGATCCTGACGATAAGAAACTGGACTTTATTTGCAAAGAGCGTGACACAGATACTCCAGATAGCATTGTTAGTTGCTCAAGCCCTGAGTGCCTTGATATGGAACCTCCGAACAGATTCCCTGGCCTTAAACTTATTGATGACGAAGAGGAGGAAGAAGACAGCGATTCGGCAATTTCTGGTCGTGTATCACCTATCATACCGATTATTGCACCTCTACCAATTAGAGTCAAACCCGTATCGTTGTACAATCTAAAAGAAGAAGACGATAATCTAAAATCATTAAAATGCTTGGATACAGATTCGCCAATGAAGAAGATGATGGATTCTCCTGGTAGTACGGAGAGCAACGAGAACGTCACTGTTACGCTTACCTTGACTTCCGGAGCTGCGGAGGACATTCTCGGTGTGCTCAAAGAACTTGCCGGTATCTTACATATTCCACCTCCAACGTCATATCAGATCGTTGAAAGAACCGCTACGCCGCCGTCGCACAAACTAGGGTTATACAGATCAAAAGGGAAAGATGGTAAAGAAGGTACGCCTATTGATATTCAAAGTATCTTAAATGGTGCTGCGAAATTCTGCCGGCATTGTGACGTCGTAATTTTGGATTCCGTTGTAAGGGCGAAGGCATCGGAATTCCCGCTACTATCCGCGAATAAAGGCAACGCTGAAGAGATTTTATGCGACAGCGACTCAGAATTGTACTTCTGCAGTGCACAATGCTACGAAAGATTCGCGTGGCGGCCCACGAACATCATTCTCGACGGCAAATCCAAGACCACAGTCAAGGAAGACAACAAATCAGATGGCGATGCCAATATTTCCAAAGAGCGAGATGATTTCGACACCGCATCAACAGAAAGCATGGAGACTGACGAGTTAGATATCAAACCGGACATTAAAGACGAAAAGATGGACTTGTCCTTTATGGACTCTCTTGATAATGATGAATTGATGAAGGAAGTTGGTGATGACGTCATGTCTATGGACGAAGATTTAAAGAGTGTGGAGCAAGATGAAAAAAGCAATCAAAGCGTTGAGAAAGAGAAATACAAAGGCGTTCGATACAAGGCATGGGCACCTGGATGTATTGGGCCTCCAGTTAAATACAAGCGTCCTACAGACAGAGAACTGACTGAGTTAGTATTTAGGACTGGTGTTGCTATAATGCCAGTGACTAATGAGGATTCACGAAAATGCGAATTATGTGGTATTCAAGGGGATGGAGTGGCTGACGGCGTGTCGAGGTTATTAAACTGTGATGTAGACAGATGGGTGCACCTCAATTGCGCTCTCTGGTCTGAAGGGGTCTATGAAACTGTGAGTGGAGCATTGATGAACGTGGAGACTGCCCTGGCGGCCGGTTCGAACGCCACATGCGCTGTCTGCAGAAGGCTCGGAGCAACTGTGCGATGCTTCAAAGTTCGCTGTGGCAGCGTGTACCACCTCGGCTGCGCGGTTAAGGACAACTGCGTATTTTATAAGAATAAGACGGCTTTCTGTGCCTCTCATGCTCCTAAGGTGAGTTATAGTGTTGTCTTTGCCATGTAACACATTTAAATGTATCAACAAAATGTTCAGAAAAGCTGGAAGTAGTAAATTGACAGCAGACAGTTTTATTGTCAGGATGTCGTCGTCACTCTCTCAGTAACATTCAAACTCTTGCAGAACGAAAAGGATAACGAATTGACCACTCTCAGCGTCCAACGTCGAGTGTATGTATCCCGCGATGAACAACGTCAAGTGGCGTCAGTGATGCTGCATTCTGATACGAATCATCTAATCCGAGTTGGAGGGTTGATATTCCTAAGCCCAGGACATCTGCTACCACATCAACTCGCTGCCTTCCACACGCCTAACTATATCTACCCTATTGGATACAAAATCGTGAGTAGCTCTTTTACTTCTTAATCAGTATAACATATCAAATTCACTAAGTAATTAGAATAGATCTTTTATAAATTGTGTCACTGCATTGAAAACAATACATCGCATGATTGTATGTATATTTGTTAATTTCGTAGGTGCGTTTCTACTGGTCGATGACGAAGGCCAACAGCCGTTGTCGGTACCTTTGCTGGATCTCTGAAGAGGAGGGAAAGCCGCGCTTCCACGTGCGCGTGCAGGATGACTCCAGACACGAGATGGCCGCCGCCACGCCGCGCGCCGCCTGGGCCTCTGTGAGTACGCACTTAAGCGAACACGAACTGATTAACTGACTGATACAGAACAATGCCCACGTTCCATACAGTTTGGACCAGCTATGCTAAACTCAAACTAGGATGATCCCTGTGACACTTCATTTGATATTTATTATATAGGGATGAGGTAAAGTCGTCAAATTTTTGTGTATTTCGTCTGCTTAAAGGTAAAACCACACAAGTGACATTTTCCACAGAAAGTCTTTAATATCTATGGCTATGGTAAGAAAATCACTATCTTTGTGCACGTGAAACTCAATAACAAAAAAGCTATAAACTTAAAGAGTTTTTTTTTATCTGCAGAAAGATGGTGAATTTCTTACAACTGGTACATAATTTGGAGATTTTTGTGGAAAATGCCACTTATGTGGTTTTACCTTTAAGCAGACGATTTGATTTTGAAGCATAAGTTCTCTCTTATAGTTTTATTTTTCTGACTAAAAGAGTATTCTGAACGATGTACAGATGTGCGAAGTGTTTTATTAATATATTGAAGACGAACACACAACTATAATTCAATGCAATTTCCTTAGATATTTTAGAAAATTGCAAAAAGTTTCATCATATCATTAATTTATAGGTTTCAAAAAAGTAATAACACTAACATGTTCCTTCTATGCGTGTGATTGATTATTCATACTTTAAGAAAAAATACCCGCCACTGTACGATTATTCATTAAATTATCGAAAACTTTTTATCGATATACCTCATCTCCAGCAAATGCAGTCTAGGCCATAGCACAGCGTCGTTGTTTACTTTGGAGCAAGCCGCTGATTTTCAGCTACAACCTAAAGGGTGCCGCAGATACGATAACCAGCTAGTAGTATTGTATAAAATTAAACAAAAAATAATTTCGATACTAAATAAATACGGAGTATAATATAAACATAATAAATGATATTTTTTTTTAGATTTGATTTATGTAACTATACAAATATATTAATATAATTAAAATTATGAATTGAAATTTTAAGTGAATATTATATGAAAGTCAATTTAATTGTAAATGGGTAAATCCTGTTACTATTATACAATGTTATGTAGGCAATTTTCGCCACCTAAGCAAAGCACTGTGGAATACCCTTTTCTTGAATATCTAGAAGAAGTGTCTTTACCTTTTCCTTGATGATTGCATTTAGATTTTAGAACCTAGGTGGTGGGATATTATTTCAACACTTTGTTGCGTTGTAGCGAAAACTGCTGGTGGACGCTGCTGTTCGATGTCGCTGTACGCTTAGCGGGGCGCGTAATGATCTGGGCTTATGGTCGTGTAGTTTATAAAAATGGGGAAATTGTAATTATGAAAAAGGATATCGGGATTAACTGATGACGCCATTTATACTATGCCTGTGTATTCTTGACATCTGTGCATTGTGGCGCAGGTCCTAGATGCAGTGGCGGCGCTGCGCGATGGCCGCGCCGAGAGTGGCGTCCTCAAGCTGTGGAGCAACTACGTCACCGGGGAGGACCTGTTCGGCCTTACCGAGCCTGCGGTCGTCAGGGTCCTGGAGAGCCTACCCGGTCAGTACTGGACTCGACTACTTCAAACAGTGTTATATTACAGGAATGTCCTATTCACATGCGAGATCTATCTATGCATCTTCTTTCTCATTGGATATTTAAAATTTAACATATTCCTTTCAGCCTTATAGTCCTAAGTTCTAGTCGGATTTTTAGTTAGGGATAGTCAACTGACGTTTATTGGGTTGCTAGTTTTTGATAATATAAAATAGTGTTGTCTTAAATGATCTACTTCACTGACTCGTTTAGTAGGTCATTAATTTTATAAACTATAGTGAAACGAAAACATACTGTTTTTAGGTACTGGCATGACAAAAATCCAAAGTCAAAGTCAAAGAATCAGTTGTTCCATAGGTGAAATAAATGTACACTTGAAAACGTATTTTTTATGCTACTGCTCACTAAGCTGACTTCCCTGAGAAGAACGAGCAAGTAACTCTAGGGATTGCTCTGTAAAAAAAAAGTTAAATGCTATGGAATACACTTTGAATTAAATTTGTGTGGAATCTAGATCCATTACGTTTTGCCATACATCTTTATCTTACACGTAGTTTTCAATATTGTAATATGATTTTTCAATTGAAGTTTTAAACTTAAGAAATGATAATTTAAATATATGCTCCGGAATCTTATTGTAAAAGCGTATACAGTTCCCCATAAAAGAACCGTTTTTCTTTTGGAGGTTGTCTCGATCTGATAATTGAAATAAAGTATTGTAAATGAGAAACGTGTACCAACGATTTTTACAAAGAGCAACCCATAGAGTTTCTTTCTCATTCTATTAAGGCAAATCATCCTTACGAAAGTAATTGAAAAAGAAATTGAGTTTGAGTAAGGTAAATTATATTATTTTTAATTTTAGGTATTATGTTTCATGAAATTAAGAATTGAATAACAGGAAAATGATACAAGTTTGTACAGACTAAATGTAAATAATTACTGAATCTGTCTCAGTGAATTCATTGAAAATTGAATCAAACGCATCACTATATAATAAACATGGCAACATTTTTTTAAGTGTTATTAGTAGCTGTCAATTTGTTATCTCTAATAAAAAATCGGCTATGGGATCTGTGTTTCTGCAAAAATTTTTGAATATTTTGTTTCTTAGGTTTTTACTATATATAGTTTATATTTATTTGTTTTTTTTTTGTTCTTAATTATTTTGTGTGTGCTTGTGTTGATCTAGACGTAAAGATGTCGGCCAGCTCTGACGCTAAACCGCTCGAGGACGCGACCACAGATAACACCAACAAGCGACCGCTAAGAAAACGATAACAAGAGACGTTTACGTCCTACGTCACTAAAACCGTTACGAAAACATTCAAGACCACGCACGAGTATTGCATGCGACACAGAAATAGGAAAAACCAGCGCGACCAGGGTGGGGGAAAGGGGGGAGGGAGTGGGGAGGAAGGTGCCTAATCCTCGTTTTACGCCGTAGGGATCGAAACGTTGACGGACTATCGGTTCAAGTTCGGGCGGTCGGCGCTGCTGGAGGGCGGGCTGGCCGTGAACCCGTCGGGCTGCGCGCGCTGCGAGCCGCGCCTGCGCAGCCAGTGGCGCCGGCCGCCGCGCGCCTCGCTGCCGTCCACGCCCGCGCCCGCCGCGCCCAACTCGGCGCTGGAGCCCGCCTGCCCCTACAGCAAGCAGTTCGTGCACACCAAGAGCAGCCAGTACAAGAAGATGAAGCTGGAGTGGCGCAACAACGTCTACCTCGCCAGGTCCGTATCCGTATATTGTACGTGGGTGGTCGGGAAGTCGGACAGTTACCGAACCTAGCGCTATTATACGAGAGAGGCAATCCCCGTTCCCGCCGACGTATATATAGTGCTTTCCTCAAACCATGCGAGGAAATAATAAAGGATTAAAAAATTTAAAAAAAATTAAAAGTAGAACATCGCAAACATTTCCTAACATGTTGGAGAAAATGAACTTTACGTATTAGAGATATGAGCCAAAAAAAAGGGTCACGCGCCTTCCAGAGATTTCTCGCGCAACCTAGTCGCATCTAGTTTGTATGCTACACAATTGACATAAAGATCATTCATTATGCTATGTATAATTCCGTTATAAAACCTCACGTCTATTCTGCTCCGCGGGAATGTTCTTCTAAATTTGGCCTACGTGGGCCTAACCATCGAAGTGTTCCCTTCTATCTTGATCTAAGACTACATCGTCTTTCACACCATTACGCCCTCTTACTGCACTTTCCATATTCCATCTTCAAAAGCAACACCATATATACTGCGTAATGTAGTCATTTCTATACTATCATGCTTTTTTGCTATTTTTATATTAAATTTCATGTTTATTGCCAGATCGAAGATACAAGGTCTTGGGCTGTACGCCGCACGAGATTTAGAGAAGCATACGATGGTGATAGAATACATCGGGGAGATTATTCGCTCCGAGCTTTCCGAGATAAGAGAGAAGCAGTACGAAGCTAAGGTAAGCATTTAGACATTTCTGCCGTCTGCAAACTAAAACGAGGCTAAGTGACAAAATATTTTTTTAAGATATCACAAATAACCATTACCCAGTTTTAGAATATAGAAATTGTTCAATGACATTTCAGCTGTGCATCGTTAGGGTAAGTTCCGATAAGTGGAACACGTTAACTAATTTTAACTGTTAAAAGAGAATCTTGTGCTCTATTTTTTGCTATTTAAAACGGATATTTGATCATTTGTCACTTAACCGCGTTTTAGTTAATGGACGACATATTTCTTCTGGTATAGTCTACTACAAGTTAAAATTGGCAGACGAAAATTTAACCATTCGATGATACATAAACGAGGGCTCCGTCGCTCAAGGTTACGCGATAAGTGCCTACCGCTGAGTGCGCCGACGTCGGCGCAAGCGCTCATACAAATGTTTCGTTTATGAAAATTCGGCTCCGCACGACTGCACACGGCGGTCAACGTTATTTACACCACTCTGAGCGCGTGTTTAGGTTCCTTTTTCTTCAGTCATTAGCCAGATTTAGTAGACTATTATGGCGTAGGTGTTTTCGATTTTGTATGAGAGTGAATCTGTTGCGTAGTAAGTATTAAGTACTCTGTGACATAACTGTTACGCCATGGTACTACGGGCTAGTGCCTACTCTTCGTTAAATTCGAATAGAATAGAATACGTTTATTTGCCAGAATACAGTAATTACAAAGGTCTTAAGTAAAAGCCTCTGTCGCCGAATGTCATATTCGCAAAATATCATGTTCGCAAAACATGATATGCGCAAGACATCATGTTCACAAAATATCATATTCGCAAGGTACCACATTCTCAAGGTATTACTTTCTTAAAACGCCATATTTGCTAAACACCACATTCGCAAAACACAACATTCTAAGTACAGGTAATAACAGCAGGTCTTACTAGCGACAGAGAGAGAGTTAGATTAGGTAGTATAAGTCGTGTAACTGAAAATCACAAGTTACGTGCCACTTACGTGCATATTTTTTGTGCAGATACGTTAAAATGGTGTATATTTATACATTTATGGTTAGAAAAATCATTTCCATAAACCCTCTTCCTATTTTCTATATATGTAATATAGAATATAAAGAAAATATTAAGGGGGTTTATGGAATATATGTATATAATGTATACCTACATACAGGGTGAAGTCGAAATCAATAGCATCTTTTTAAACTAAGACCCTACTCATGATAACTATTACAGTAGGATATAGAATTATACAAATCAAAGCTATATTGCAACTTATGAAAACCATGCGATAGACTTATTGCAAAAAATCATGATATGATAATAATTAAAAAAAAAAACGAAAACAAATAAACTCCTTTGGTTTGTACCTCGAAATGCACTACATAATGATGCATGCACACGGAACGTATTGAAGCGACGCCGCCGACGGAGAGGACAGTTATTTGTGACGAAACATGATTCACATTTTAAAATAAAGTATCTGTTTATTACTAAAATTAAAATTCTTCAGTGATCCGGATTCTGTAGTACGCTTAACCGGTTCAGACACACTTGAATACCTATTGTTTATTTACGCTATCTTTTACTATAATACTCATTTGTTTTGTTTTTCTCTATTATTTTTCTAATTCTTTTTTTTATCAGTGAAATACAAATTATTCTTTTTTATTTTTATATTTTGTAGTTTTGCTTCTTTTTTTAACAATGATATAAAATGAATAATTTATAATTTTGTATTTTGTTCCTAACAGTACAGAACGTTGTAAATCGCGCATTTGATATTTCATGTGGTGTTTAGCGAATATGGTATATTAAGAATGTAATATCTTGAGAATGTCGTATCTTGCGAAAATGATATTTTGTAAACGTTATGTCTTGCGAATATCATGTTTTGCGAACATGATATTTTGCGAATATGATATTCAGCGACAGAGGCAAGTAAAATTAAGTACATTGTATTCAACCTGCAAGCAGATGTGCAAATATTAATGGGATTTAATGTTTAGTCTCTGTAGTTTCCAATTAATGTAATGAATTTGTAAATTCTAAGTATTCTTTATTACTATAGAAGCAATGTGTCAAAAGCCAATTTGTCAATTGTAATTTAAAAGTATGTCCTTGTAACAATTTAATTTCGTTTGGTAATTTATTGTAAATAATTACACATATGTCGAAAGGAAGTTTTTTTATAAATTACTTTATGGCAACTATGACAAAAATCCTGAACCAAATAAAAGAATAGCCGGCAGTATCGGACAACATGCCGCGTCCGTGGCACAGACAAGTGATGCCCAAGCTCGTCCGAGCCTCGGATGCGGCCCGGCTTGCCTCGGCTCGTTGTAATGTGAACACTCTCCAGTGCGTCACACGCGCTCCGTCCGAATGTGCGACTTTAAAGAGAGTGACTACGTTCTGTTTTAAAAAAATGGATGATGAAAAATTAATTGAGTGCGTAAGAAATTATCCAGTGCTTTATAATATGATATAACACTACGTTCATATTCGAGCGTAAACCGCGTCCTGCTGACTGACTCAGGCTCGTATTCCAGACTTTACTCAATGCTCAAGTCAGGACTTGAGTATGATTTAATGCACTAGAAATCATACTCAACTCCTTGCCATTAGGGTCGTATTTCCAGTGCTTGAAATCATACTCAAGTCCTTACTTGGGCACTGAGTAGAGTTCTGGAATACGACCCACAGTCTAATTTAAGATCTTGGGGCATATACGAGGCTCGGATGCCTCGGACACGACTCGCGTCCGGCACGGTCTAATGTGAATCATCCTTGAAACAGAGTTAATAGAAGTTGAATAGTGCCGTGGGTTTGTGACGTGACGAAAGCTCTGAGGAAATTATTTTTATACTGGTATGGTCAAAAGGCATTAAGTTAAGCCATTAACTGAGTTAATTAATACGTACCACAGACTATTTGCAATGGTAACTCGGACACAAATTATTTTTATTTTTAGTAAAACGTGCCATCTATCCCTGATTTTTTTGAACTTTTTGGTCGGTTTTACCATTTTCTCGCGTGGCAATTTGGAGAAGAATTTATCTACTTTTTTGTAATGAAGTCATTGACCTACCAATAAATGGACGTCGGGTTCGCGCTAAAAAGTGTACCGCACCTGTAGGGCGTTAAAATTGCATACAGAGCGTCAATCGCGCAATAGTCTTCGTTTGTTCGAGTGACAGCGCGGTTGTCAATCATGCATTACCAATATATGCACTACAAATAATAACTTGTAAAAATTACTGCAGTAAAGTGTGAAAACAGGATTTTGTATCATATTTTCACTAAACAAATATATTGTGTTATCATAGTTATCATTTAAAAGTGTTATTTTGTACAGTTTTATAGTATTTAATTTATATATAACTGAATCGTAAATATAAATTACAAATGCACACGAAATAATGAAATAGCTAACCTTCCTTTTACTACTCATTGCATGCGCAAAAGATGGAAAAAGACCCATTACGTCAGATTCAAGAAGCTTATATAAACTTCTTGGTCATTTTCAATTGTTCGAACCACAAGCGATTGAAATATTTAGAACAAAGAAACTGTAGAGTTGCTTTGATTTTAATCCTATTTTTAAAATGATTTTTTTTATTAAACGTTAGCAATAACTAACACAATATTGTTGTACTCGTTTTACGGCATGGGATTACCTATCAGAAGTCAGAAAATACATTTGCCCGAAATAACATCAGCTTGAATTTTCATAATGTGTTTTTACGAAGATTAGAAAACAAAAGCTAATTTTGTCTATGTAAAAAGCATCAAAATTACTCGAAAGCGTAACGGTTTTGTTATAAATCGGAATTACGGATATTTGAGTTTACGTTTAGTTACAATATCGGTACACTTCTTATAGTACACGCTTATTTTCACATTTGTAGTAATAATTGTATGTATGTATCTGCCCAACTCTTTATTATACCTTTAAGTGAATTTGTACAAAATTCGACATAATAATATATATAAAAAATCAATATTTACGAGAAAGACTATTCCATTACTCTTGTGTTCAAGTAATTTTCAGTCGAAGCTAAATATGGTGCATTTTGTTAAGTTTCCAGTAGAAGCTGAATATAGTGTTTTTGGGCCCTTAAATTGTTGTAAGCAAATTTAGGCAGTACTGCAATGGCGTTACAATTTAAATTAAATGTTTTAGTTTTTTATATTTCGTATGTCACTACGGTTGTATAGGTTAACCTCGGACATTTTTTTCGTGGTTTTTGTATTAGACCCGATGTCCATTGTTGATAGGTCAATGAATGAAGTAGTTATTCCCTTGTTAGCTTATTACAAATCGGTCGAATCAGTAAATTTGATATTACGTGAAATACTCGTATATGTGGACCATATCCTTACGTAGGTACTCTAATTCTTTTTTTTGGCGGCTAGATGTCCCCCAACGTTAAGAAACTCACAGTTGTAGATATCAGTCTGCTTACATAATAATTACTCATTAGAATTTCTTTTACAGATGATTTTATTTCCAGACTTAGATAGGCCGCTATTATAATTTGAATAACCTAATGAATTTATTTTATTCAAACTTGTAATTAAGACATTTCAAGACGCTAACGATCTCTTTTAATAATGATTTTGTCATTGTTCTTTATGGACCCTGTTGTCTGAAATAAAGATACATAAATGCACTGTGTGAGACGCACTGACAAGTTGCGTATCTGTGCAGAACCGCGGCATCTACATGTTCCGGCTTGACGAGCGGCGGGTGGTGGACGCCACCCTGAGCGGTGGCCTGGCGCGGTACATCAACCACTCGTGCCAGCCCAACTGCGTGGCCGAGACCGTGGAGGTGGACCGCCACGTGCGCATCATCATATTCGCCAAGAGACGCATCGCGCGCGGTGAAGAGGTCAATAACTAACTCACGATAATGCAACTGCTGTCTTTACATGTTCCTTTACCTACCCGTGTGTTATGTGTTACCTCCTTATAGTCGGCTAAATTTGAAAATCTACGGACGGAACTCTATTTTAGTCTTCAAGCTTAAAATATACTATATTTAAGTTAGCGACCTAGTATAGGCTGCTCTATTTCGCACTGCTTCATAAAAATGACACGAACATAAGATAGAGCCACAAGGGTAAATAAGTGTTAACAATCGTTACAATAGTAAGGGCGTCGTAGATAAAGAGTCACAGATAAGTAGCAAATAAAGAAAACTACACTCGTCCACACACAAATGAGAGAGCCTATTATAGTCTGTCTTTTTTGAAGACGGAGTAAAATGATATATATGTATGGTTGCCAGTTTTCATACCATTTTAAATGTTTGTTTAATTGTTGTGGATAGTTTTGTCGGTAGATTGCGAAAGGAGATAAAATTTTGCCAAAAATGAGTGAACTGACTGAAAAATGTGATTGTTTACTAATAGCGTTATTGCCTTCTTTATTCTTCTTTTGTCGGTTGCCCTAATAGTGTCGAGATAAATTTTTATTCATATAGGTACATTTTAACAAGAATACCCGGATTCGATTATCTATATTGAATTAAAATGAAAAACTGAAATATGTCTCCTCTTTGTATTTTTCATAAAGATCATGATGAGATCATGAGGTTATCGGCGCCTCGAGCAGTAAGTTGCATATACGTGTTCTTGTGTTTGCCAATGTATTGTCCCGTAATTTGTACCTACTAACAATAGCTTTAAGTTTAAATGTTCTGTATCTTTTTGTATTACTAACAAGTGGGCCATAGATGTCCAAATAAATGATTTATTATTATTATTATTATTATTATAAACAAAGTTCTAAATACTTACAAAAATTGACAATTCAAATGAAATTGTGCTCAGCAATTGAAAGAATAATGCGCTCGACGATTCAAATGAAACAAGTTCGGCTATTTATTCCATAAGCGTGAGAAATAATCTGTTGATAGTCGATAAATATATCGACTGCAATCACTAGCTGCTCGAAGGGGGCAACCCTTTTACACAATAAACTGTCATTTTACTCCGTTTTCGAAAAAGACAGACTTTAATTAACTTGCTAGTACGAATGCAGCTTTAGTGACTTCTCTGTGACCTATCACGAGCGGCTGTGTTTCTTATTACTAAGTCGCTAATTTTCAATAAACATTACTGTTTCATATTTTTTAACTATATTTATGTTCCAGTAAATCTGTAGATTTGATTACTTTTGATTATTACTATGCATTTCTATTCATATTAACATTTCTTTTTACAGCTGGCCTACGACTACAAATTCGACATCGAGGACGACGCCCACAAAATAATGTGCATGTGCGGCGCGCCGAATTGCCGCAAATGGATGAACTGAACACTAACTACAGAGCTTTATGTAAAACTAACTGTTTTTTATCCGTTACGGTAAATATCCGACCTGAAGTCAACGTTATATCGTCTGTTATAACTGATAATACTAATGTGCATAATTTAATATTTTGACATGACACGTAAATATATCGATGTTTTAAATGGAAGTTAGAACAAATTGCTAGTGACCCTAACCCTATTCGAAAGGCACTGCAAAAACCTTATTTGCCACTCTGAGACGCTTATAATAACGATAATTTTTACATAAAAATTATGTACAATTATCACGATCTACTAACACATAATTATAAATTAAGAAAGTGACCACAGTTGACTATTTTGCAAATACAAAACACACCTTATTTCTATTGTAGAAATGGCTATGAACTTAGTTATAATGTACCAAAGTGTCGTAGGACGCATTGAATGGAAATGAATGATTAATGAATGAATTTTCAAAGCTTACGTGTGATTTATATTAAGACAATATGAATATTATAATAATTGATTATGTCAAATAGTTTTGTAACTTTGATAAAAGATTGTTTCGTCACTTATAAACAGTGATCGCAATAGGTAAAGTATACTTACCTAAGATTCCACTAATACACATAGAGTCCGTATACCTCCTGAAATCTGGGAAGGTTTAAAAATAAAAACCGAAAAATATTTTTACTTATAATAACAAAACTTTTGAATACAGTACCATAGTAAAAGTACTTACACTTTACACATATAACTAGTAACTGCTTCTGTGGCCGAACGGTTACCAGGCTGATCTGCCACACAGAGGTCCCGGGTTTGATTCCCGGGCCGGGAGAAATATTTGTATGGACTACATTTATTTCTCTCGTGAGTTTGGGTGTAATTTGTGGTTGTGTGTGTCCATGGCACTTGCGATACAGGGTTTCCCTTATACATAGCTATGAGTGTGTGCGTTATTATTATATAGAACAAAATAAAATACTAATAAATAATAATAATAACAAAATTATAATGCCGTGATTTCAATTTCATTTTTGAAGTTTAGATAAATATACTTAATCTTTTCCGATCTCTGGTAATAAAGCTACTGGTTAATATTTAACTGAACATTCTGACAGCAAATGAGCCGTTTTCAGCAAATAGGAAATAAGTGGGCTTCTAGAAAAGTTAAGATAATACCGCGTATAGCTTTTAATCTTTTTTTTATCTTATCGTGGTAGGGGCTGTCTTTTAAAGCTTGTACATATTTTCGCACTTGTAAATAACGAAATTATGTAGAATCTAAGAATTTGACAGGCAGAGTACAAAGAGAATCAAACTTAGAAAAATTCATAAAAAGATATTGGATGGAATTGACCCTATACAGTTTGTATATATATAGTGTGATATGTAATGTGATACGTGGTCGTCTTTACTTTTTTGTTAGTCAAATGTCAGTGTTTCCTAACTCTGGTTCCACGGAAATGACAGACCGAGGACTTATGTAAAAAAAATATATACAAAATCACACTTCCCGACTGAATATAAAATATCTTTTTTCTATTATGATGGGGAAGAAAGTACTTCATGACCGAGCGGTCAGTAGTGGAGAGGGTTAGAAAATGGTAATCTAAACTGTTAACTCACGAAAATTGAACACATACAATTAAATTATAATTTGTACATGTTAGAATTAAGAATTATAAATATCATTGTTGTTGAATTTATACTTTTTAGGCGTGATTGTTCTTGACTACAAAGCTATATTTACTATTACTTTAATATCATTTTCTATGTATTTCTATGTCGCTGTTTTTGAATTCTATGACTTTGTATCACCAAAAATTATCGATGCAATGCGAAATAGAATATTTAGTATTTTAAGGGTAAGACTTGTGTTGCCAGGTAACGCGAAATTCAACAAAATATGAAAGAAAAATATCTTTTGAACGTTATTTTTATATCTCACTCGTCATATATATCGTAATCGAGTATAAACTTAAGTTCTGTCCTGGCAACACTAGCAGTGACGTCATTGTTTAAGTTTAGGGTTACCATAGGGGAATGTTGCATTTATAGGCGTACCGCAAATCGAGCCACGTCGTGCCTCCCATTTTATACTATAGGCTAATGTAATGTAAAGTGTATGGAACGCCACAGTGCGCCTTTTAAACTGTGAAAGAGGCATGCAAGGCCTCCCACTGAAGTATACAAACTGTGCTAATATAAGCTCCTCAATTAAAAATAATTCTAGATGTAGTTAAATTTATATCGTCATTGTATATAGCAGTTTTCTAGCTAGAACGAATGTACACAGTAATACTGGCATTGTAATGACAATGCTCGAGTTGCAGTTTGTGTACATCAGAATTAGGTTTACCGTTCGTGACACACAATTAACACATGACATGTTTTTAGCAAGTGTATAGGTGCGATATTTCCAAGGGATGAGCAATAAAAATTATTAGTAAAGCAGAGAAAAACAATGTATTTTTGAATTAGGAAATGAAGTATCTACATTAGAAAGATTTTTTACAAGCATTTGATTGTGTGTCCCGAACTGTGCTTTTGATGTCACAAATGTTTTGAACAGAAAATATATTATGATTAAACATTACAAATATATTTTGATCAATAACTTTTGTTGACGTAAAAAAAGGAATTTTAGTATGTAAGACTAGTTAGACCTGGATTAGCACAGGTTGACAGAAAAATTACTTTGAACTGATCTATTTGTATAATAAGTTAACTGAGTCTATGGGTCAGGATTTGAGCAGACTTGAGTATGATTTTAAGCACTGGAAATACGAACCTAATGGCAAGGACTTGAGTATGATTTTCAGTACTCACTACAATACTCAAGTCCTGACTTGAGTATTGAGTAGAGTTCTGGAATACGACCCTAAGAGTCGTATTACAGAACTCTACTCAATGCTCAAGTCAGGATTGCACTGGAAACACAAGCACTGGAAATACGACCCTAATGGCAGGGACTTGAGTATGATTTCGAGTGCTTTAAACCATACTCAAATACTGACTTGAGCATTGAGTAGAGTTCTAGAATACGACCCTAAGATTCATTACATCGGTGACATCAAAATAAGTTTATATGTTAAAAAACGTAGCATATTTATGTATTAAAAAGTGTGACCGCACCGTTTTGTTCACCGATAGTTATAGATCCATGGGTTCAAGTCCCAAAAATAGTGTAGACAATACCAATCTCACGTAGGTAGCGTAATTTTTAATTTTACTCTTATGGTATGTTGTTTTCTAGTTGACTCGTATTGGCTGACCGAGATAGGACGGAGGCGGTTTTCTTGGTAAAGAATGGATTTTTTGGCGAACGTAATTCTTTAGTAAGATCATTTATTCACTGAAGACTTGGCCATAAATCATCAGAGCGGGACAGCGATATTGCGCTCTCTCTCTTGCTCGTTTAGTGTTTTCGACGGAAATTCGAAATACCGGAAAATTAAGAATGATTACTTTCGCATGCTCTCGTGATCTTACCGCATATGTTATGGGGTATGAGTGTAAGAACGGTTGACGATATAAAGCACACAACAATAAATACTGTAGAAGTGGTTAGTTAGCATCCAACGCGTGCCAACTGTAGGTCTCGAACGACCTATCTGAGCTCCGTCCGCCATTTTCGCTTTGTATGGCAAAAATCTCTAAAATCCTAGAGAAATGCTTAATTGTGCTGTTTTGGAGTGCAAAAATGATAGCCCCACCAAAAAAAATTTACCTGTGGTGGTATTTAATATCATCGAAGTTTTATTTTAACAAATTTTCTGTTTATCGAAATAATTTTTTTGTTACAAGAAACGAAAGTAAAGCTTATATGGTCGCTTCTTATTTGGAGAACTAAATTAATAACAATAATTCGTCGTCGTTTAGAAATTAACCGCTAAATGGCAGCACATTGAAATTTCAATATAATATCAAAACTTCGTAACTTGTAGTAATAGGTTATTGAACTTTCAACGATATGCCAACACGATAAAGTTTAAATTATATTAACAATCCATTATTTGTTATTTCTTTTTAAATTTGAAACTACGACCAATCAACATCAAGATTTTGTAGTGTTTCAAATAAAGAATGTGTGAGTTTTGGCGACATCGGTTCAGATAATAATCGAGGCTTAAGACGCTTGAATTGTTTTTTTTATTCCGTGATATTAAACCAGTGGGCAAAAATGGATTGCCAATGTCGATATCGATAGCATTTATCACAGCCCAGCGCTTACACAAGAGGCGCGTACCCTACTGGTAAGCGGGAGAGAGAGCGCGCTACATCCCTGTCCCGCTCCGGTAATTTGTGGCTTAACTATCAGTTCTGCGTTTTGTGTGGTTATGTCTTCAATTGTGAGTCCAGTAGAAAATAACATATTGGATAAGAGATAAGAGGTCCATTCACTTGCGAATATTTTATCAGGCGTAGTATTAATGAAGTGTCGCTGTCCGTAGCAGCCGGTATGTTTGCCAGTGATTGGACCACTAAGGCGTTTGCTGTTAAAAGTATGTGGTGGGTGCAAGCTTAACTAAACCTAACAATTACTTAATGACGTACTGGCTTCGGTAGATCGTGGGCTTAAAATAACTGCCTAGATTATGTTGAGCTTGCAAGCCACATGCGCTCGAATACAGATGGCGTTTAGTCCCAAATGTGATATTACCTCACATTACATCGTGAATTTATATAGTAGTGTAGTGGTTGTTCTGAGCTTGAACAGGTGTCACTTGTAAATGCTACTTGGAAGGTAGTATATAAAGTAAGGAGTGTAATCGGACACATCAGGTTTATGCAATAGTTAACTAAGAATAAAGAAGTATACGAAACTCCCTACTTAATTGCCCGATAAACCGGGCGTTAAATTGTAATCAATTTCATATGTTAATTTCAAGAAATAATCTATATTTTGGCATTGAATTGCTATTTAAAAAGACTTGAATGCACAACGATGTTATACACATTGATTTTGAGTATAACAAATTTTAATTAAGTGTTCGATTTCACTCCGCTAAAACTTAAATGCAAAGCTAAATCTGGAAAGGGTAATTTTGGTATAAGAGTTATTTTTGTCTGACAAAGTAGAACAATTATTGAAAGCGTCTTATTTTTAGAATGATGCTTTGTAGAAGAATTTCGGATAACGGAACAACCGCAGTAAGTTTACCTCTGATTGCTTACATTTAATTAATTGAAACAAATTAAGCAATAGTATGGACAACCACACGACTAGTATAGACAGGTGTTATTATCGTTAAGGCGTCGCATATCGGCTTACACTGGTTATGTATAACCGACTTCTTTTTATCGATGACATACACTATAGTGCTTGAAATCGAATGTTGTCCAGGGTATGCCAGATGTACAAGAAAGGAATAGTACGTCGTGTGCGGAATCTTCTTTCGTTCATACCTTCTTACCATTTCCAAATGATTTTATTAGTTTTAGTAAAAATTTATTAGAAAATTTTTGAGTATTATCAGTCAGAAGCAACCAGGTTGTTTATTAAAATTCGTACACATTCATTGGAATATTGAAGTGTTGTTTATATTTATTTATTTAAAATATTGTAATCAGTCAGAGAAAATGTAACTGCGGTTGTAATATCATCCCCATCCTAAGTGTCGTAATTAAAGAAAGAAAGGTTTCGGTTTAGCGTCTTGAGCTGTAGCTCTTGTCAATTCGTTCTATGTATGAGTTATAAACAGTGATCGGAATAACAGGCAGAAATTGGAGACTACATTACGACGACAACATTTTTTTGC